AGAACAAAGCAAACCGCTATTTTTGAGCGTAAGCTCTAAATAATACCACCCTGGGTATCGGAAGTTGACCAAAGTTCAATTGAAAACACATATGAAGCAAATGCTGGGCCTGACCGTACAAAACCTCAGCAAGTTGATGCCGGGAATATGGGGATCGGATGAACAACGCAAGAAGCTATTCATTTCAATGACTAATTCCATAGATTTCTAACAATTCCCGTCTGGGCAAAAACTATATCAAATTAATAGAGTTGACTTAAGGCAAATACAGAAAATGTTCGCTTTTCTAATGATCAGAGGATTCCGAATCGCGTTGACTCTTGCCGCCAGTGTTCGTAGTGGGACACTATTATGGTTAAAGAGCAAACCGAAATTGACGGATAGGTTATGGGGTGACTATACTGATCGAAACTGTTTTATCATGCGAATTTGCCTTAAAAGTGTCCTCCTTGTTGTCCTATTGAAATCTCCTTTATCATTTATCCTCGAATATTGCATATTGTCTAATACGGAATTAATCCAAGTAAAAGGTATACAAATCAGATGAATCTGAAATTCATAATGCAATTCTGATCCTCTTAAGAAATCTATAGAGTCAATAGAGACGAGAAGATATGATAATCTGATAGACCGATTACCTAAATTTTTTTTCTTGCGACTATGTATCTCGGTAAAGGCTTTTTTATATAAAAAAAAAAAGACGTCCTAAAAAGCGCTGATCGTATCTTGTCTACTCTTTAAAATTAGTTCACTGGAACGCGTAATTCAGATTCTCACCCACAACAGAAATCCTATAAAATCAGACAGGCGATACCAAAAGAGAATGAGCTTTGAACTATGCCAAATTGATTTTAATTCGCGGTTTAAATACAATTCAAATACAATCCATTTAAGCGCCGCTCTAAGGCAACGGCCCATTTGTATATTGTACATTATTTTGTACAAGGTAGGAGTATGTGGCCTGACCTTTTAAGCAGGCACGATGCTTTAATTTATAGAATTTAGTAGGAAACCATAGCCACCAGAGCAGAAAAATCTATTCTGACATGCCGTTACATTTACATGCCGTTACTGACATGCTACCGTTAGAAACACCTAAATCAAGAAGTTTTCTTGCTTCTGTAAAGTGCCTTAAAGGTATCAAACTTCTTTTGCACGGCAGAAATTTCACGAGATTTAACCTATAATATATGACAGCTGCAAAAATTACTTGATACTAACGACCTAGTCGAGGCATGATCTGAAGATACCTGAAAATGTATAAATTTTCTTCATTCCAGTACTAGCGAATAGTACATAAAACAGATTTCGGATATTTGTAGGTAAAACATAATTTTACAGTATAAATATTATCACTATGAAAGATAGGTGCGAATTTTAGCGTATAACAGTTCCAAATATTTTTTGTCAAAAATATTGGTGAATCTATTTACGGGTGGCGTAGACCTTCACTGAGAGAAATTCTGTACGGTTTTCGTCGATTTTTCATATTTTTAGGTGTTTTTTTAAGATAAACACTTAGCGATGTCGAAGGAACGCAAGTTCGCTCCTTTAGCGGCTATTTGACGAAATTCAAAGATATTATCGCGACTATTACAGTTAGCCTAAAGAAATATTTATAAAAAGCCTTTTTACGCAGCGCTTAGGGACACTGTATGTTAAGAAGAATCAATTAATACGACAGAAACCAATTATTGAAAAAAACAGTTTTTGCAAAAAATATTGGCTATATTTGCTCTGCTTGAGGTTTGGCTTTGTCGGCCAAAACTCGCGCTTAAAACAGAATTATAACTGAACTACTGAGAGTGTGGAAACTGGGTAAAAAAGGGGTTTCCTATGAATTGACACCAGACTGGTTGGAAATACGTGTGAATTTTTTGATCAATAAAAAAACCACCTAGAGCGTACGGTCGCCATAGATAAGGCATGATCTAATCTCTATTGCCAGCTGGAAAGAGTCCAGGCGAGATAATGGCTTCGCCTTGGAGAAGAAGCAGCAGTGTCGTCTAGATTTAAACGTAAGATGACAGTAATGTTTGTAGTAGACATCAAGAGTATCTGCTGCTATGAGATACTTGCTGAAGATGAAACAATAAATGTCCCTCAATAGGCTCATGGCCTGTAAACATGGCAATCGAAGGTAAACAATCCGGTTATGTGATGACGCCGTCAGACCTCACCGCCATGCTCTACAATTTCGAAGCAAAGGAATCACAGAAAAGCATTCAATTTTCGATTGTCAATGTGATATTTATTAGCATTTGGGTTCTACGCTAAGCTAACCTACTTTACAAAGTCGCCACATCATTTATTTTTGAGATTGTAAAACATACTGAATAGGATCGCATACGTTGCATATGCTAAATATATAGTATACGGAAGGTAACTTTAAGCAGTGTGTAAATTAATGTCCAGAACATATATTATTTGGAGCATTTACATATGAATAGAGCTATAAACCCTACGCTACCTAGATAATATCAATGCATAGGAAACTGAATAAAAACTACTATATTAGTCAAAAGAGTCCATCACTATAGTCAGTATTAATTTTGAATAATCCTCACTTTCTTTGTCGTAATAACAGGAATTCTGGAACCTCAAACACATCAATCGACTTATCGAAAAAATGGCTGTTAGCAATCAGTGAATCTATCGGTAGATCCCAACTGGAAGAATTATTGGATATTTAATTAGTAATAATTTCAGCTTGACTCATTAGAACCGACGCTCGTTCTTTTCGAAACATGTCATTATGAGCTCGTCATAGCATGGACATTACGTATATAGCAGCCGTTTATAGGGGACATTACAACTACATTCGATTTCCACTTCGCTTCGACAAAGATGGCTTTTAGGCTGCTGTTACTGTTTTCTTTTTTTTTTTTTTATCATATTTACAGACAGTCAAACCACTGTCATCAATCGCTGGAAGTACAAACAGCGAGATAACATTTTTCCACATCTAAGTATTTCCGTAAAAAAATCTTAACGTCAGAACAAATTTTTTCGCTAAAAACGATCAAAATCCATCTTGCCGTTTCATACATGTACGAAGTTGTACTGGTATATATATATATGCACCGGTGCGGCTATGCACATGAGGCGGAACAAGCGACTATACTGACCTATGAATGGACCAGTGACACGCCTTCGACGAGTTATTGGGCGCTGAACACCTGTCGCTGCTGTTAGACTGAAGTAGACCGCAGGCCTTTTTTGTTAATAGAGTATATCTGAGCAGCCGTATTTAAATGATAAAAGAATCTACAAGGAGGGACGTGGTTCTGATCTGATGCATAGTCGACCCAGGGCGGGTTTGTACTCACGAGCAGCCTACGCTGCACTAATCGGTTAGTGTAAGCCGGTTCAACTTTCTAGAGACAAATTGTCTTCATTTAGACACTTTAGCTACGCACAGTCGCATAAAAACGAGTAGATTATTTCATAGTACGTTTGCTCTCCTGGAAGAAGTACGGAGGCATGATGTCTCTTCTACCGGGCACCGCTCATGAAATTTGATTGAAAATTTGCTTTTACTGACAATGACGTATCCTTTAGATCGTGAGCGAGCCAGCGATCATTTCTGTAGTTAATGTTTGCATCGTATAAGGACATTGCACAACAGTTGACCTTTGCTTAACTTCCAATACCAAACTACTTTTTTTCGCCATGTCGAGTTTCGAGGTTCCTTGTCAAAAAACTGGCCGTCAAGCGCATGCCTGTTGCTACTACTACTACTACAAACAGCCCGCGAAATTTAAAAACTCCACGCTGTATATAAAGCTGTTGAATAAGAATCATTATCTCAACTACTGCCAAATGTGTGTATCACAGTAAAATAGTAGACGGATAATGCATGTTCTAGTAGGAGTTCTTTGCCATCTCGTATTTATATTTTCAAATGCCAAAATGACGAAATGTTTATTCGTCTGTATACGGATGCATACACATTGATATAATGAAAATACTTACAGAGCCGAACTTCGATAACAGAGATGACTCCTGCATCTGAATTGCTACAATGTAAGGTAAACATTACACTCCACTAGTAATCACGAGTGTTAAATATGTTTGTATCGTGAATAATAGATGTAACATTATATTATTTTAAAAGCACAAATGTCCCTCCAGGTGTCAGTTGTGTCATGATATGGAGGCGTTCTATTCATACGTCAGTGATTTTAGTCGCAAGCTTCATATACCACATGAGCTGGACATATATAAAAGGGCTGTGCTTTGCAAATCTATCCAATAACAGCGGAATATTCTTTTTTTAAATAGTGTTTGATTTTAACATTAATCTTTAACAATTTTCAGAGCATGCAGGTCGGCACAAAACATGCCGATTGTGGGCTCTTTTCAATTTAGAATAAGATATGTTTTTTAGGATAGGGCCTCTATAACTCGCAACATTTCGCAGTGCTGTATTATACCATTGTTACTCCATTAACCGACGTACAGATTGGAAAACATTTTTCATAGGGTTTATCTTGTGTAAACATGTCAACTAAGGTCAACTTAATGCGTAAGTTATGGCTGAACAAACGCATACATCATTTACATCGATGCATGTGTCTTATCGATAAACAAAAAAGACGCAGTAGATCATCATCTTAAAATAAATTATATATCTAGAACAACTTTGAATAACGGACTAGCCATGCAAATGAGCGGGTATGGTTATTACTTCACGCAACACTTGGCAAACAGTCGTCCCAGTTTCTCTCTCCTAGACCTATTCTAGCGTAAACAATTTATAATATTTACAATAATTTATCTACACAGCAGATTCCTGATTGTTGATTATTTACCCACCTTCGCCAATCCACTCTCGTAAATAAGAAGGTTTGTTGAAGGCCTTATTATTTCGGCTATAAAATGAACCAAACAAAGATTTAAAACATTATACGTGGCGCACTCCATAGTGAATCATGCTATCTACATTTATATCCATAAAGGCCTAGTATAGTTTTCAGGTTTACGTGATGGAGAAACAAATAACAAGGAACCACACTGAAGGATCGACCATACACCCTGAAGCTCGTCTGCGTTTGTAAGCTTGTTAATTGTACATGACTCGTATATTAGAATGTATAGTTTTTCCTGTAATGAGCGTACCCAAACAACAAAAGCTTTTCTACGATTGATTCGCTAAAGATGAGTCTCGCCATAGAAGATATATGTTATATAATTAAATATACATATTGTTTACAAACATACCTAGGGCTCGATAGATGTGTTGTATGTAGGTAATGCTCTGTAAAATTACAACGTACATTTTGAATCTAAATTCATTTATTTATTAAATGAAGCAAGGATGTAGAAATTAGTGAGTTCAATAAATGAATTGAAATTAACTGCCAGTGAACATATAGTATCGAGGGACGCTGCTTGAAGTGTCATGCTTTTAAATCTACATCACTTTTGAAGTCTGCATCGCTAGAAAACCCGCCTTGACAAGCGATGTGGCTGTCGCACAGGCGACTGCAGGTCTAGTCAGGGTTTTTTACCTACGGTTCGAAAATGTGGAGGACGCTGTTGAATGAAGTAATATCCAAGCTACTAGCTAAAAAAACTATTCTCTGAAATAAGGATTTTACAAATATACAAACAAGCTGTGCGTGAAAAAAATTTAATGGGGGTAGCATTGTTCGTTACCTTACTCAGATTCATACAGGATTTCCTGTTGTAGAATCAACATCCGATATAGGCAACTATAGCCTGCACGAAAAGCCCTTCTAGTATATTCATTTATTAATAAATGGGGCACAGCTCAATTTAGATAGACTCTAGTACAAACATTTCACTAAACAGTAACTCTGAACAAATGTGAGCCTCTAGTAATCGTAATACTTACCTTTGATACGAAAAGACAATATATATATATATATATATATATATATATAATAAATATATTTTTGTTAAAATGGAAATTTTTTCAAGGAGACATTAATAAATGACGTAGTGAGGATAAATAGCAATACATATCATATTTAATGAAAACGCCTGACCTCACGTTATGTTACAGTGACCAACAGGATTGAGGTTAACATTGCTGAATAATAAATTTACGTTATTGTTAATTAATAACACTTTAGTCCATTAGTCATTTTAGCTACCGCTGTTCAAGATAGTGAAAATAATATCAGATTTATTCAAGCAAAAAAATACCAAAAGTATATATGGTAAACATTTCATAGACATAGATACACCGCTATTAAGAATAACGGAATGCGGAGTATAGTGTGTACGGAACAGGAAATATGACTTCTAAATTATTATTAAAAACCTTTTTCTCTCTTTTATTAATCTCAAAAATGCGGTAATAATCAAAAGATGAAAAACAATAATGTACCGTGTTTAGAAATCACGTAAAAATGTGTCTTAGAAATCCGTAATCCTTCTTTGAATACCTTCTCTCTCAAACGAATAGTTCACAGGCTCGACAAGTCGGCTAAATGATGAGCTATGTCACCTCAGTCCATTTCGAATTCTGTAAAGAATTTTCTGATGACTTATAGGAAGATGTTCGCGTAAAAATTGATCCAGCTTGCTTTTCTGCTAGGTTGACTAAGTATCCTTGTTGTCTCGACATCAAAGGCAAACTATAAATAGCGGCTGAACAACAATATAACAAATATGAATCCTATCTATGCAGCAGACTATCTTCAGATTCAGTTGAATATGTCAAAAACCTATATAGCCTAAAAAAATATTGCTGGTAAATTCTTGATCATAGTTCGTTTATAATGCAGACTGACAAATTCTATTCTTATTTACAGATAATGAACATCCAACGGTTCAGTATGTTACTATAAGCTTTCCGTATCGAAATAAATTCAACGCGAGTGAAAAGTTCCTCCGGTTTGCTATTGTTAATGTAAGTACCCAAGCTGATAGTTACTACAGTGATACGCATACGCATTACATTAATGTCGTAAGAACTTGTAACGGTTCTTTAACACTTAGCAGTTTAACAGCTTAATTTAACTTCGATTATTGTAAGCATTTGCCGTATTCTCCAAAAAATGCCTAGAAACAAAAAAAAAAAATAAAACTAGTAGGCCATTACAAATAGCTGCCAAATACGCCATTTCTTACAAATAAAAAGCATCGGTAACAATGGCCTTGTACAAGGCTTTCTAATGTCATCTCAATATTAACGAGTGTACATTTCGTAATTGAGACAATGAAGGGAAGGGAAAGGTTTATTCACGTTCACAAAGTGCATGAGCAAAAGTCATTGCGATATCTATCAATCAATTATACATTTGTTTTGTTTAGGTAATTCTTCTACATAATATCTGTTGGATAAAATCACTAAATCCTATATACTAGATTCTAGTGTTTTTCATGAATGATCTTGATATACAGCTTTATCGTCCCATTATTAACATGGGCCTTTGTCATTTATCTGACAGAGACGATTAAGTAAACGAATCAATGAGTATTCAATTTTTGCTACTAACATTTTCTATAAATGTATTATAATTCATGACATGTATTCTTGCAATTCTACTGCATCTATCATACAATATGTCACATACTATTTCAAAAATCTAGCTAACTTATTGTTGATTATCCATTGTTTCAAACTGGTATGTTCCACATGGACATGATATAGAACTTTCAGCGGAATCGTCGGCATGATACAACGAAACGTATGAAAAAAACATCATCAAAAATAGCATATAAACGTTATTACGGCATTACTACGGGACAACGTAGGAAAGGTACCTCATACTTGCCCTGTTACATAGAGCCAATATTAGATTAGAATTAGAACTTTATACTTCTGGTGGTTTTTCAGCAGTCTCTCTTGCTCACGCTTCATTCATAATAATCATGTTAACTTTTAGTACTAGAGAATCCAAGTTGAAATTATAGTATACCCATTTTATGACTATACGTTAAACGTATCTTTTCTTTCTTCTCCGGTGTTCCTTTTCAATATATTAGGCCAATACACGAGCAATACTACGTTCTTATTTTTTCCCACTGATTATTCATTTATATATATAAAAAGAAAAAAAAAACTTCTAAATACCGTTTAACAGTGTTCTTTTCTCTTCGATAGGCTCGTTGAGTTGGCTTTGCAGTAATCGAAATTTTATCTTGAGTTCAGGGTCCAGAAATAGATATTTCCGGTTCATGTGCTATACGTATTAGTTTTTGCCTTTTGTCTAGGTCGAAAAACTGCGTGCGTAGCCCTAGATGTTTGTTCCGTGTACAGTGACCACTATAATTAAGAGGACTTTTTGAAAATATGGGATTCTGAAGCTAGAGAATGTATTTTACCTCGTCCAATGAGGACTTTTTATGGTAAATATCTCATTACCTGGCCGACAAGACAAGCTGAAAACACGAAATTTTACCAAAAATTAAACATCTGGGCACCTCACAAAGGGGATGAGGCGCGCACAAGAAGCCATTGCTTCGGGTTATTTCTCAACATGTTGCACAGCATCGAATAACTTGAGGCGCTAGAAACAAGTTCGTACACAGATTTCTTGCCTGCGCCAAGAAGTAGCGTCAGTGTGTCGATAAGAAAAGGAATAAATAATTCCGAGATATGCGCCTAAGGTTTGAAGTCAACCTACATCTCTACCCTAAAGTAACTATAATTTGAGCCTTATAGAACAGGTATGACCTTTTATACCGAAAATTGCTTGAAGAAAAGACGAGACAGTCGACACGGGTCTACATATAACAGAATTACGTCGAGTGAGCGAGGCTACCCAAAAAGGACAGAAAAGACCCAATAGACAAGGCAAAACCGTCGTTTCTACGACGAAGATCGTTAAAGCCATTCTAAAAAAGCTTGCTATATTTACCCACCGTATTCTTGTGTCGACAGAGTTCTGCCTTTTGTGATAACTGACAAGTAAATTAGTAACTCAACATTTGACAATAAACAGGATCTCATAGATCGGCAGGACGAATTTTCCATCACCGCATTTAAAAATGTCTGGCTGTGAATTTGAAACGAATGAATTTGTTCTAAAATGTAGGACGACGAATACATAATGAAGTGATTTGTTGCCAGAATTCAAGCCAAATACCGCGTCTTTCGTTATGTGAGGCAAACAACATTGCGCAAGTGCCAACTTTATAGTTTAATGACTAAGGCATGGGTAACTTTGAGCAACTCGATCTGATGGATCGATAACTTGGAAAAACAAGTGAATACTTTCACTTAGTATACAATTCACTTGCTCCTTATATGCTCGTTAAACTAGCTATCCCTGACCCCGCTATAAACGGTAGCTTGCAATTATTTAACGTTCACCTTACATATCTAGGAAACTGATGGGTTTTCGTTACCTGGAGGCGTATCACTTGATCGTTTTTTGTGGCTGGACGAAGCAGATGCTGTAAACAGTGAATACCAATTGCTCAGCTTTAATCCATCGAAGGAAATAACACTAACAAACAACAAAAGTGTTGCTAGTGGTAAGTCTTTCTTGAGTAAATACTTAATCAACTTAAAGGGCCAATTTTATTTAAACCAGTATATATTCAGTCATGCCAAACAACGTTCTTCCTACTGTTTGGTGAATGAGTAAGCAAAAAAGTACCTTTTGCATTTCATTATGGCTCAGCTGTGTTCGGGCGCTCATCTACAAGCATCAATGCCAACGCAGAGGAGAACAGAAAACTTGTGATTAGTTAAAAATATGCGCTTACAGTTAGTCATAGCGGTAGACTTACAATCATTTAAATACAAATTGCTACATTTTTCTTTCGATTGTAATTCTATTTTTGATTTCTTCTGTTTAGAATAACACGCTTCCAAACAATAATGAAAATCCCGCATGGGCCATTATGGGCCGAAGTCAACAAGCGCAGACGAGAGATATGGGGAAAGATGTCTTCAAAGTCTTCAGTATTTATTTACTATAAATACCATGTTTATTCATTGCAAAATATGAACTAGGTGATCAACCGGTTCCACTTGGTGTTAGCCTTCAAGCTCGATATGTGGCTCTCCGCATTAACAGCTACTGCAACGCTTCCATTTATTTGTTGGTTATTTTCCAGGTATTTATATGTACATATATTGTGTTCCTATCATCGTGACGCATATGCGATATAAACAATATTCAACCTATTTACGACTCAAAGTGACTCTTGATTTTTTTACCAAGTAGTTTAGTTTAATAAAAAGCCATCGCTTGACAATCAAGACGTTTGTTTCTTCTTAGATGTCTCAAACATCGGAGTGAAATAGTCGTTGCGTCGTATTTTACTTTTTTGTGGGAGACCTTTTCCTGGATATTCCCTCAAGATGAGCTAACTAGTTCGTTATTTATATCGGCGATTTCTTAATATAGCTCCCTCGATTGACGACGTCTGCTCCAAGCTGCTAAGTTGTTCCCAAACGTTGAGCATTTCTTCGTCTTTTATATTCACAGTAAACAGAGAGATAATTTGGAATTCAATCACTTCTTACCTAAAGAACCAAACCTGACTTTGTGATTATAACTCATGTATAAAAAGGAGCATTCTATGATCGATTGTCTACCGGCTTTGCTAGCCGACGCCGTCTCGACGAAGACGATTATGTATCGGTCACGTATGTCAGAAACCTAGCTGCGACCGTGCTTTACAAGGCCATCATGTTTATTCTGTTTTTGATAGGAATCGGATTTCTGCTGGCCGAATGGGTCCTTTGTTCTTTTTTTTTTTAATGAGGAAATTGGAAAATCACCTTCGAGACTCGAGTCCATAACTACTAGCTGCCCTGACAGCTAGCAACCGTCATGGTCGGTACTGTCTCTTCCTCTTTATTGACCCAATTCAGTTCATCAGAATGCGGTTCAACGTTGCGCAAACAATATAAAACTAATAAAACTTGTCGAAACGTCACTAACTGTAATCATCTGTGGCAGGTTCTAGGCATATTTTTTTTTAACTGCTCAAAACAAATGAAGCTAAAACTCTCGTCGCCCAAATGCGGGACGATTCAATACAGTCGCAAAAACATACGAAACATTTACCGACTAAGATTGCGACACAAACTGTAAGAGATTTACGAATCGAGAATGTGTGTTTTGCTTATTAAAGTTCGTCTACAGTTAAAGTTCAAGATCGTTGGCCCCAAGCCGCCTTGGATATACTTGCTACTATATGGAATAATAACGTTGTTTACCCGTGCTCTTCCTATATAGAACATAATTGGACCGATGATATTTTTAGTTGCTCAAAAAAATTCGACAGAGATTCATTCATAAAATAGAACTGCCAGTTGTGACAGAAGGAAGGCGGCTTATATTAAAGGAGTTAATGAAATACTAAGAAACAAACAATTATTTGACAGTGTTTTATTTTGTACAAACCGGAATTCACCGTAGGTACGAGGTGCAAGGTAAACTCACACAATGTATTTATCAATGTAAATATAACCATACATGCATATACTAATGTAACATAATGTATACATATATTATTTTATCTATTTAGACCACATATATGCGATGCACTGTGTGGGGTATAGCAGCAACACTGTAATATATAGGTGTACACGAATTTAGTATACAGTAATAGTTTTAACTTGTATGATTTTATCGAGTAAGCAAAAGTATTTTTTTTTGATACAACCCAGCCAACTGGGGATACTAAAAACGAAGATGGCAAGCTTCATTTATATGCAGCTAGATTAATGAAAACTGTTGACTCCACAGACCTAGCAGAACCCAGATGCCCTATTCTCTGACTAAAGATGGCATCAGTTCTTCATTCTGCAACAATAAGAATCACGTATGAATTACATATTTGTGGTGTTAGCTTTTCAAAGCAATAAACTTTATTCACGTATAGCAAATACGAATTATTATTAAAGACTATCTTGTACAAAAAAACTAGTTTAGCTAGAAGGGTAAATGACTCCGCGACCGAATCGACCTACACGGTTCTTATTTGCATCAAGCTGTGATCACGACGCACAGTAATACATCCCAGATGCAATATTTTTATAGTTTGTGGGCAACTTTATCCCAAAAATTACGATCCCCTTAACAAACCCTGCAACTACGAACCGGGCTTACTTGCCGTCAAGCTCACTGTAGTCGTGACCATGTATGGCTGATTCTATTTTACGTACCTATTTCAGGTGAACCAAAATGTCGGAGCAGCTGGTTTTGGTTGTGTCTAACGGGCTCCCTGATAGGTATCTCAGTAACTTTCATAAGTTTCTTAAATTCGCAACTTACGTCTTTGATAACTATAAAAAGTAACGATGATTTTATCAACAGCTATTACGATCTACTGCGGTTGAAAAAACACGTATTTACGTAGAGGCAGAAACGCTTACGTCACAGCTGTTTACGGTAAATACTGGATTTCTGTTTTAACCAATTGTGCCATAATCTCATATGAATAATCCCATGTAATCTACCGTCTTAATTTAAAATATGGTTACTTGAATTGGAACAGTCCATCCTTGACAACCATACCTATTTAGCATCTGACGTAGCGAAAGTAAAAGCTGCAACATATCAATTACGTGATTCAATTCTAAGGATCATAGTCGATTAACTCGAAAGAACAGTCATTCATTATAGCTATTATACCAAAGCTACTTAACTCAGCCCTAATGTTCTCTTGCCTACACTGATGAAAGTGAGTTTTTTTTCGTCAGGTAAATATCGTACTGACGGTGACAGTGGATAATCAGTGATCTATGTCCCTAAATGCAAAGGCACTATGTTGCTCTGCACTTTTCGATACTGTTCTGGCCTAACGTTTATTCTTGGTATAATGTGATGAAGCAGTGAATACTTGGTATGGTAAAAGTGTACCAGTTAAAAATAGACGACTGTAGTTGTTATCAAATAGAAATGTAATTTTATCAATATTATCACGACAGAAAATAAATCAATTAGCTTTTTAGGATCCAAAGACCGACCTTTTCAGACAGTTAGCCGACCGCAATGAGCTAGCGCGGAATGTTTCCCGCGACAGATCACGATTTTTGGATATGCTAAAAGAAATGTCGGCTAAAGAGCGTGTCATGGTTGGCACCGAAAAAATATGCATCGGACTCATACTGCAGGTTATACTGATTAACTTTCTCTAGCTGCACAATTGTTATTTCGGTCACACACTCGGGTAGCAGCTTGACCACGTTAACAATACTTGCTGTCGCCTTATTCTTTTGTACACATACTTGCAATTATTACATACGTTAAGAGTGTTAAAATCTTCATTCTGTTCTTCTACCACCACTAGGTTTGCTGCGGCTTCTCAAAAAAAAACCTAGTCATATTACGTTCGTTATGATATGGCATTTTATATGACAAACATATACAAACGTATACAGGTCATATAGAATCGTATTGACTCGATATACACGTACACAATCCCATGATCCTATATATATAGATAAATCGCATTATCTACCAAATTTTAATAGTCTAACTTTAAATCTTTAAGTGTTTTTTGTTTGTATATATATATTTGCCTCTATTGAAGGAGACATCTAAATGAATATAAAGTGAAGCTTAGCTTTTCGTTACGCGTTTCGTAATAAAGTGTACCCCCCGTTGTGAGAGTACACCGAAACTATACTTCTTCTCAAGGATTGCAGGCGTTTGGCCAGTGCTTCAAGGTGCGGATTACTACGAGAGGATTCGGGATCCTCCCTGCAAGTGTGCTTTTATCTCTTAGCCTGGATCGTGGCCTGAGAGAAAACATAACTACTTGGCGTTAAATGATCATATGAGAACAGGAATAATCCTCGTTTTTGTATTGTCCCGTATCCTCTATCTTAAAAGGCCTGCATGGTTTATGGCTACGTTGACGTAGCGTGACATAGTCTAAATTGCAATATAAACTAGCAAAAATAGTCATTATACCACTCTAGAATTCTATAATGCTAACAAAAAAACATTTACCTAATGTAAAAATGTAAAAGGCTTTCTTGATTCAGAGCAAACGTACATGAGATGAACAAACTTATTTTGATACCAATTTCAGGATAATCGCAAATAAATCGGATTGGAAATTATTGCGAGTCATCACAATGCTTCTGAACTATATAATTTATAACTTCTATTTAGCAAATTGTTGCAGAAGCAGGATGTTCAGCTGTGGGCTAGAAATAATATTTTTTTTTAATTAAAATACCATTCGAGACTTTCCAGTTAGTCGAAAAAGAAGGGTATATTGCTTTTAAAAATGTACGAGTCTTGCTTGATATCTGGGACTAATATTTTCCTGGACCGTAACTAGTATTTATTACATGTCAAGCAGAAATGCTAAAACATATTTCTGGCGATTTAATTTCCTTTTTATGATTTCTATGCTAGGGTTCAGGTATGCCGACAGTCTTACCTCTATGAAAAAAGTATGGAATGGGAAATGCACAATTGCTACATTGATTTACAGACTTACACCGGCATGCACGAAAACAAGCTGAACTGTTAACTTCAGAAATTATTAACAAACGTTGCTCTACTTGTCATGCACCTTGGATATTGCAAGGCTTTGATTAATTAAGCTAATTACGGAGAATCTGATGAGGTTCTTCGCTAAAATAAACTAATTAAATAGGCCAGCTGTTTTAATTACGCAGGGTTATTTAGGATTCAGATATACATATATATCTTCTTTAGCATCTATTCTCCTTCTCTTCTTTAGAATTCTATCAGAAGATATACACATTTATCTTCTTTGGATTTAAAAGAACGCTTGCCAATAATTCGGTTAAGTTTTGATTTTGTGAATTCGATGGCAGTTATTGCGTAGGCATTACCACAAAGCGGTATGTTTCGGAACCTGATGCTTCTCTTACTTCTTCTGATTGCTTCTCTCTCACTTAAGCTTGGATTCTCTAGTCTGGCCTTCATAGCCGAATACGCGTACTCTTGGTTCTTCAGCAGTATGAATGGACTTCGAACAGAAGACAAGCCAGTGCCTACTTGAACACCATGTCGAATTTCACTCTTCTATTTATTGATTAAATTGAATACATTGAAAATGCATGTAATGTAATAATAAGTGCTATGCATTTCGTCATACAGCTAGGATTATCATTATTATGTTTAAGAATAACTTTTCAACACCAAATGCTTAAAGACTCTTTCAAAAGTATAACAGTTTTTGATCAAATCTTGGTTGACTGTAAAAGGCAAGCATACCAAACAAATTATATTCCGAAAATATGATGTAAAATCGGTTGGTGGGCAAGAACTAAGTGCGAGCCAGTTTTCTCCTCTGCATCACCTCAAATACAATTAGTTTGTATGTTTAGTTATGTTCTCGTGATCGTTCTTCATTCATTTGTTTTTCTACGGCTACTTTGGGGCATCGTTCATTTTTCGACGAAGGCCTAAAAAGTCGTAAAATTTGCATGCCTTTAGCTGACTCTTTGGTTACCTTTATACAAATAAAGGGACAGAGGATTATCGGTTCTATATTCTTTCAATGTTGTATTCTTTATTTATTTTCGTAAGCGGGATTAGATAACTTGCTTTAAAAAAAAATCGTCATATATATATATATATATATATATATATATATATATATATATATATATATATACAGATTCGTAGAACGATTGCAATTGTTATAGGTATGGATTTATGCATCAATGTCACACCGGCGCACTTGAATAAGATATGTGCAATCTATGCATAGCTCATATGTTTTTTTTTTCGTAACTATGAAGTTTTCCCTTTCTGGGCCCGACAGGTATCGAAGAAATGCGATAATGAAAACGTTTGATTTACTTGCCGCCATTTTGTCCTAAATCATCGGTATGTGTTTTGTTTGAAATTTTCCGCGCCTCTCCTTCTATTTACATTTAGAAGTTGGATCGAAGGGTCGGCCTCTGAACGCTATAGGTATTCAAATTATTATGCTAGTGGCAGGATTTTTAACAAAAAGTAAAATGATTTATATTCCTACTTAGGCAGAATTGTTATTAGTAAATAATTCCGTGTGATGTACCAACTAGTCTTTAATTGAGCGAGACAAAAATGTGCGTTTCAGTTTTCTTAAACTCATAATATCTTTTGACAAACAGTCGAATGTATAGTTGACAACTGAGGCCCTAACTTTGTCAGAAGTGCTCGCGGATAACAAACTAAATAAATAGTTAGCAATGAAGCTAAGGTTTAGAGCGGTTTTGTTTGACATGAAAATATTTTTCAAAACTTGTGTTGGTTGTTTACCTGACAAAATCAAGATGAGTGCCTATCGATACTTTGGATTTTTTATGTTATTTTTTAGCATATTAGTGCCATAAACATCGACTAATCTCTATCAAAGCTGTGCGTCCTGAAATGTGATCAACTGCATAGGAAACTATGACGAGCAGTATAGGTTGCGTTTATTTTATTGTGTATTTTCCATTTTGATTTCTTAAATTCAGAAGAAACTCTCCTGAAAGCCAAGCCCATCTTCTTAACTGTAGCTTGGTTTGTTGCACTTGCAAACTGCATGAGCCACAGACAATTTGAAGATCCATCTCTAAATTTTACGTGTTTCAATAAACCAAAATGCGTGTGGTTATTTAGCGTATTTAGTATCTTAATAAAACAGAGAAAGAACTAATACAAATTATACATTCTCACAGATCGGTGCCCCACCAACTGTGTATCGTAAGATACTTCTCGAGGCACAAAGACACTATAATGGCTGAGGAACTCCGAATTCTTCAGGCTCAAGCTGACCTTGCTGAAGGAAGGTTTGTTCGGAAAGACGGGAGAGATTTTAATTCGCACAGGTAATGGTAGCGCATTAAACTTGCCTTACCAAAGAATCTAGTACAGAAAATCAAGAGAAGACAGGATCACTATTGTAAAAATTCATTATCTGGAATGATTTCAATTTAGGCTAGTTTAGGCTCAGTTAAGGTGGAGCATATAATATTGCCAAACATTGCGTTAAGTCTACATAACATAAGCAGATTTTTTTTGTTGTAGGCCATTAGAGGTGACCCTTGATCCAATAAAAACCGCGGACGGTTCCTGTCTCGTCCGTTTTGGTAATACCTGCGTACTATGTGGGCTGCGAGCTGAAATAGCTGAAAAGCAGCTGGGCGATCCATTCCAAGATATAAACATCAGTGTTCAAGCACAACTACCCTTCAAGAATATCGGGTGGGTAATCTGCAGCTAGCATTTTGTTGATGCTTTGACGTTGTTTACTGCCTTCTGTTTACCCTGCTGTACCAATGCTACGGACAAAATAATGGCTGTATCCTAATACTTAGTTATCTATTTCTGGGAATTTATTTTGATGTTCAAAAAATCTGGTTCAACTGCTATTGTCTTAACTTTTAGCTGACCTATTTGTCTTTGGTGCCTTCGTTTTAAAGGGCTTCTGGCCCGTCTGAAGAGGAGCAAGCACTCTCCCAACGATTGCAGGATATTCTTCTGTCCTGTTCCGCTTTTCCATCGCGAAGAATCTCAGAACGATTCTCATGGTTATTGCATGTCACAATAACCTGCCTGGATTCTGATGGCAATCTTCTAGGGGCAAGTTTAGCCGCTATATCTGGTGCACTCTCATGTCTTAAATTGCCAGCGGCACGCCACGACGAGGAGGAAGACACACTTGTCGTGGGAAACAACTACGAAAAAGTAGGCAGTCCCTTATTACTTCACATATGTGTTTATGATTGTATTGTCTTGTTATCTCTTTTGTATCTCTAATATACTCATTGTCTAAATGGTTGATTAGGTGGCCCTAGTTGAACTGCCGATTGGAGTGACATTTGGTATAATCAACAAGTCTCTTGTTGTCGATATGACGCACGAAGAACAGCTTCTTGCAAGGGGTGAAAGCTGTGTGGTGTTGGATTCGAAGGGCGAAGTAGTTCATTTGGCTAAATTGGGAGGCGTACCGATGCCAGCGACAGAAATTGCTACTATGCTCTCAAAAGCCCTAGAACACGCCAAAGAGATACGGAATGTTCTAAAGTAATTGAGGATGTAAATATACACTTCATTTTGGAATTTTACCTAAATTGTACACTTTTAGGTAAAAACGAAAGCTAATATACTGTCCATTGCTTTTTTATGTCCTGTTTCTGTACATTTTTTTTTCCGTAGAAGTTTGTTAGTTTATTAAGTTATATCTTAATATACTATATCTATATAGTCTTCGCTTTCGATGTCAAAATAAAATTTGCCTTACTGACTCGTGAATTCGTGTTGTTTTTTCGACGTGCTCACACGATGGGCAGTGGGTATGCATGTTGAAATGGGTGTACCGCTAAAATGCTCGAACTACTTCTATGTTAAGGTGCCTACTTCGGCCAACCGGTTTCCTCACATATGTCATTTCTAATGTATAGCACAAATCGTTGAGTTAGCAGGCTACACAAACCGGAAATTTCGAAGCTATCTAAAAAGAGTTGGCTTTAATATTAGACGCTTCATTATTGCAAATCCTGTCTACCAGAAAATAAGCTAAGTAATCTTATTTCCGGGCTAGCAACAAACACCTAAAATCGTGACTCGTATAGAGAAAAATAGAAATGTTTATTATGGCGCCAAATATTAAGTTTACTAATACTTATACGCGCATAGCTTACGTTTGCACAACAATGAAAACACACATTTTAGAGACATATTGTTTATCCAAGACATGCACAACCTTACAGTAGTTCTGCTAGGCGTGATGCATACTTCTTTTAGAAGTTTTTTAAAATAGTAAACTGACCAAACCTTTTTTCACATGGTGAATTTTGTTTGCAGCGAGATACGGTGAAGTATTTCTACAAATATGGTAGTTTTACTAGTTGCTTGAAATTAGTAAAATGCTGTATTCTGTCAAGAGTTTTGTACCGTATCCATAGGCATCTAGCAACATTTTGCATACTTTAAAGAATGAGACTATCGACAGAAAAACCCAGATGACATTGAGACTTATTCTAACCTTTAGCCTCCATTCATAAGACGATTTGTTAAAAAAAGATACGCATCATAAAGATGGCACTGCATTGAGTAGCTATGGATTCGTCTAATCGCCGGTGCGGAACTACAACCATGCAAGTGGCTAATGCACCACAAGAGTTCGGCGGCTAACCTGATTAGTTCTTCGTCTCTCGCAAATCATTCTTGGAAATGTTTGTCTCAAAAGATACAACACCGCACGCGGTGTCCTTTTTTGTTGCAGCGGGAAAAAGTACAACACGATATCCTTCAACAAGGTTTCACAACAGGAATAGATGCAAGGCCTTAGGAACCTACGCAGTAAAAAAGCGGCCGGTCCAAGTAGCATCTGCAACGAGCATCTCAAATGTGCCATCGTTCCAACTCGGTGTACGACGGCACTATTGAATCATTGTTTGCATATTGATACACTCCCAGCCCAGTGGAGAGACATTAGCTTACTAGTAATTCCTTAAGGAAAGAGCGATTCTACTGAGCCGTGATCATGGCAGGGAATACTAAGGATAAGTGTTTATTTAACCTGCTCTCCAGTTCGCTGGTTAAGAGACTGAACGGCTATTTAGAAAGCGTACATGCTGTTTCGACGGAACAATGTCGGTCCGCAGAAAACGCTCCACAGAGACCTTGATGGCCGACGTTAAGTTACGAGTCAGAAAGGTTTCAAGTGCATTAAGCTCTAGCCCGGTTTTTTGCAGCCGTCACAGGCTCCAAACGGAGACAATGAGGTCGTTAGCAGCCACTAACATTTTGTACTCCGCTAGGTTGAGTATTGCTTATGTAAACTGGTTTCCGTACTTCTGATTACTCTCATCTGCGAACGGCAGAAGTTTCACCGCGCGACTTAACCAAAGATTCAGGAAGGGAGTGTTAGCAGCATAGGCAATCCAATCGCTTAATGGCTTGTCCCGCTCAACGGCTCTCAATTTGTTCGATTTCATTGTATCTGCTATCAGAACGTATGGAATATACCTCACTTAGGAAGATCTTACAATAAAGGGCTTCAAATGATTGAATCGCGTCAAAGCATGCTTCGTCAACAGAACATTGGTACTACACACAATGACTCCGAATCACTTCGCGTCCAGCTGATTCGCCACTGCAGTCCGAGGACCTACATCGTCCAAAGTCCAACCAACGGAAGCCTTTAAGGCGAACTTTAGGAACTGGGAGCAAAAATTCGCAAACATTGATGAAGATTTCTTTGCTTCGGGTGCAATGGTAAATAACTAGTGTAAAAGGACGAACCGGCTAATCAGGCATGCCGTTATCGCTCTGCCGTGCACGAGTCCACTATAGGCTCTGGAGAAAACCAGGTTTCCATAAGCCTAACGATATATGTGGTTGCTCCAGGTTTGAGGAAGTGGTGATAGATACTATGTTGCTTGATATTCCCTGATACCATATCTAAAACGCTTGGAAAATCTCTCAAACTAATTTTAACAAGACTCATATAACCCACATCACAAACTGTTTAGTGTTTTATATATCCTCTCTAATATTATAATAGTGTATCGTTTGTTGATCTGTATTTATTAAGTTGGTATGAAGCTTTTATCACCAATGAAGGTGAATACATAAGAAGATATTTAATTGGCAGAAGCGGTCCACAGCTCCCAGGCACCGGTTCCTTTGCTCTGCACTTCGGACCGACCATCCTTTGAAATCACCGTACCGTCCTTTTTTAGAATAATTAGAGTTGGTATACTGCGAACGCCGAAATGACTGCCCAATTCGCTACAGAAACAAAGAAACCATATGCAGTTAAGTTACATAGTGAATGCAGAAGACGTAAAATATTTAGATAACCTGTCGAACAGGGTGGTCATAATAAACAGCATTTTTACAAACGTAATTTTTAATAATTATAAAGTTGAAAAATCTCAATATTAGCAGTTGAGATCAAATTCATTTCGAAAGTACAACACGAAAAGCTAATGCTTTCCTCGATGTTTTTAACACTGAATACATTTTTTCTGTCACTGAATTTAGTTGTACCAGCTAAGCCTGACCAATGAACAAAGAAGACGTATGTAGATGAACTGTGCCCAAGAATACAAGCATATATTACCTGCGTGCCGCGTCATTGTATTTGATGGCGTACCAGTCGCCGTGCGTCTCCTCCATATACGCAAACATTGCGTCTTCAGTCTTATCGCTCGATACGAAGACCACCTCGAGCTTCTTTCCTTGATTCTTTAGTTGCTTATATACGTCAGCAAGGACAGGAGTAAACATCCTGATAAAAATACGTATCATTATTACGTTTATTTCATGTACTTTCTCCTAAATTCATATATTTGCTCTAACAGACAGAGTAGTTGGATTCCAAGAAACCTAGTTGATTACAAAGACTAACGGATAAATATCGATAAGTACATTGACTAAATAATCTGAGTAAATGCTTGTATTGTTGGTTGTTTCTTATGAGTAACCGTTACATCATAACAATACATTAAAAATATCAAAAAGGGTCGTAACATTTTAATGTTCAATCTAACAAATTAATTACTTTGAAGGTGCATAAAGCGCACTTCTAGTGGTTTTAGTCATAAGCTTAAGAATCCCAACTTTGTATTACATTTAACGTTAAAGGTCGTAGATAGTGATGAACTAAGCGATGAACAGATATATAACTAAAGATGTATTTGTCTCTGTTCATTATATGGGTTTTGAATAAAAGAGTCTCTTAATTAAGAATTGTAAAATTGTATAAAGAGATAGTCCAATAACCCGATAGTTGAAAAGATACCCACATATAATATTGAAGACAATAATAATAAGTGTAGCTTGGCTCAGACTTAAGTAAGCATAACCAGATATGCGGTGCTGATCTCACCTGCAGGGAGGGCACCAATGAGCGGAGAAATATATTGCGACAACGTCGCACTCATTTAGAACGTCCGCAAGACCCTTTGAAGAACGATCACGTTTTACGACCGTCGCTTTCTTCAGAATCTCCATAGTTGCCTATAACACGAAAATTGCGAAAAGTGATATTTCTGACAATTATTTTTCCCATTTACACTCACGTCTGTCCTATATCATGGTTATACTCTTTTCACAGTCAGGCATAATCGTATGAATACCTCACGCATAAAAGTAAGTTTCGTTGTCTATATTAACACCAAGCTGACACTGCCTGTCTTTGCCGAAATAGAAAACTTCGAAAATGAGTGGCACTGATTGCGACTGTGCACTAGGCAATCATCCACAATATCAGCTGTAGTAACTAACGTCAACTAATCTGCTTAAATCACCATTAGGCACAAAAGGCAGTCATTTTATGCTCTATCAGTATTTCATAGTGTTAGCGTAGTACAAAAATGGAATTCTTCTTCTATTACTCGTCACTGCCAAAGCCAGATAATCTACACATAAAAGCGATATTAAGAAATCGGAAAGGTAGTCGCATTCGATGTTGGCACAGAAAGAGCGTAAGCTTTACCAGCCACAGTTTTACTATTGTTCTTCTTTCGAAATTATACGGAATGCCTAATCAGTTGATGACAATTCTCAAAATACGCTTCGACAACGCTAACCCAAAACGTTTTCGTGTGGCAAGGGAACGGCTTTTCTCATGTCATACCGCACAAAAACTAATGACAAGATCGACACCACACTACCTAAAAAATATAGGTATGGGCGCAAAGACACATGCCCCTGTGGGATAGGTAACAAGACATTACTTCTGTGTTTTTGTATACCAAATAATGACCTCAGGGCAAGTCACAATGACACAGTAGAAACAAGGCATATTTTGGCACGAATAGGTCCGGCTAATTTAAAGCAGGGTTCTACTTGGTGGAAGAACGACAGTGGACAAGCAAGAATGAAAAACGATTATTACTAATAGTCATATGAGGTATAAAACTATAAACACCTACACCGGCCGCGGGGACAACTGCGCTTTGAGAGGATCCACCAAATAGGTACCTGATTAACAGGATAATGGCAATCACGAATAATACATCCCACATTTTCGCCCTACTGTGTTTTTGTGTTTCAACTAACGGTACTAAAATTAATCAACGTCAGAGCAATTGTCAGTCGTCCCGCCGTGTTCGAATGCTCTTGACAGCTTTCGTAGATTTAAATGCACACGGTGACACCCAAACACCACTGCGCCTATATAGGCTATGAGTACTAGACGCTAGCGCACCTGCCGACGCCTGTTCAAGTAATAGTAACTTGAACACAATGTGAAAGCCGCGAGTGATGGCTTGCTTTGTTGAAAAGCGAGTGACGCACGCAGACAACTAATTTTACTGCATGGCTCTACTGTTTTGAGACCGGAACTCTGTTGGATGAATGAATGACAGCCAACTAGCTTCAACTTAGGCGGGCGACTGCCGCTGATGTAAGGATGCTAGTGGTAAATTTTTGCGCCCTCTCTCCCCAGGATAAGCGCTCCATTATTTAAATGTTTAGCTTCTGTCTGTGCCGACACAAAGTCCATTGCCATCGGTGGTATAGCGGTTAGCATAGTTACATTACTGGACTTAACATCTGGCCGACGCGTAGCCTCTGTACAATTATTAACTTCATAAATTCAATTTGAATTATTGAAACAGTAACTTCACAGGTTTGGCTTACTTATTTGTTATTTTTTTTTATTTACTTTTCATTTACTTATTTGTTAAAGAAACACAACATTTTTACGTGCCTTAACAAGCTTAACGTTTTGAATACGGTTTTAAAATAGCAAGAAGAAATGCGGGCCAATATAGTTGGACGTTCTATTGACTCTAAAAGATTTTTCGAGGATACAAATCACCAACATGCTGACAATCATCTTGCAAATAAAAAATAAATTTGCAGTAGATTGGCTTAGGTAACTAACTAAAACGATCCAATCTATACTGCTAAATTTTGCTTCTGTATTTTTATAAAAACGACTTGGTTCCACCGAATTATACTTTTTGAATGAAAAACATCGTATTGAATATAATCTATTAATGTGATGCTGCCAAATGGCAAATAACAGAGCACGTAACATAACTTTTTGGAGGAACAGCAAATCAATAGATAATGAATGGCTTTTATGTCCCCATTTACGCAGATATCAAGAAGTGTCGTGGGTTACGGGTTACATCTTTAGAAACATCATTAGCACATTTTCAAGCTTTTAAATACCTTTATAAACAATCATGTTATATAGAGGAGTCTTTGGCAAACACTCTCGTATGAATCCTTTTTTCTTTTGTGGAACGGTTCTTCCTAACGGTCGAATTAAGAAAATGTTCTCTCATATAGCTTCCTTGCTCACTAAATAATCACGTTCTCAATGCGTAAATTACACCTTTACTCAAGTCTGTAAAGTCAACTATTATTTGTTTACCAAGCACTGCCCAAAATCAAGTATATGCTGAGGGTTTAGTCCATCTAAGTCAACCTAGAACTAGGGCATAAGCATACTTTAAGTAAAAAATCTTGACAATACATATTTGAAACAAACATGCGCATGTTTGTTAGATAACGAAATACTCCCATTACGAGTGCTTACCAGTGAACATATCTCAGTCGTTTAATATGTTTAAAATAAAAAAGAAGTGCTGTTGTTCACTAAAACGTTCTTTTATATGCACAAATCTCTTAGTATATAGACAATATTGAGAACATCGTCCATCCTGGATATAAACAGTACAATAATATTTGCTTCTAAATCTAACGCTATTGAACTTTTTTTTGGAAAGCTTTTTCATCGCTAGCTTAGATGTATCGATACCGGGCATGGAAGGGACTCACTTCCCTATTTTTTGTTGAAAATATAATATATTACAACTTTAATATCGATGAAGTGATCTTCACAGATATAACCCTCTCTTAAAGGCTTGGAGCTCTGTTTTTTGTTCTACTTCTGTACATATGTCGAGATTAACTGAAGCATCGGTGGCATAGTTATTTGCGTAGGTGCCTTCCGAGTAGTTGGCCGGGGTTCGATTCCAGGCCGACGCAACGATCTTATGAAAACACTCACGCAAATGAGAGATGAAACGAATGTGTGCAAATGAGAGAGGAAACATACACATGTGTGTATCTATTTTATGAAGTTGTCTTTTTGACAGAAATTTAGCCGTAGCCTTATAGTCCTCAGCGAATTTTGTGGCTCTTACGAACGGCAAATCTAAATAAAACAGCACAAGCCGGCAGTACCTAATGGCATGTAGCTTCTGACATCACGACTCCAAGGTCAACCCATGCTGACAATGTGTCCATGTCATTTGCCAGAAGGTAACCCGCAAAGTTGTTACGTAGTACGGCAGAAAAAGGCTTTTTGTATGCCATACTACACAAAAACTAATGAAAAGGTAACAGTCTAGATAGATGTCATGCGACAAAAAAGTACAAGTACGCGCGCAAGGATACACGGCTCTATGAAAAAGGTAACAAAGCATTACATTCGTATTTTCGTGTACAACATGTGGACCCTTATTATTGAACTACAACAGAACTACAGAATTTATTCGAAGAGTATAAGAAGAGAAGGAAGCGCTTTTTGTTTGAATAACAAATGTAACCCTCTTTCAAAGGCTAGGAGCTTTGTTTTTGTTCTACTTCGGTGCACACGTTCACGTCATCCGAAGCGTCGGTGGTATAGTGGTTAGCATAGCTGCCTTCCAAGCAGTTGACCCGGGTTCGATTCCCGGCCGACGCAATGCTTTTATGAAAATAATTAGTAAAAAGTACTGAGAAAACGAAGTAGTGTTTTAACAACCAAGAGAGACACCAAATTGATTATCCTCAGTTTTTTTCAATTTAGGTACCTTTTTGAGATTCGAGAGAAGCTGAGTCGAGAGAGCTGAGCTTATAGGCTTCAAGGAATGTTATGATTCTTTCAACAGCAGCTGTTATCGATGAAGTATATGGGCTGCCAGGGTTGTGTTTCTATTGTTTTTTTTTTGTTATTATTATTAACCTTTATGTATTTAGCTATTGGCATTACGGCGATACCTCTAGGGTCCTTTAACTTGCACATTTCATTATGGCCGCAATACGGGTTACTATAACGTCCGCCATCGCGTTCATGTAATTAAATTGCTCAATTATGAGTGGCAATTAGAAAAATTGCTTTTCTAAACCAATATGAGCGGCAATTCGAGATGCATTTTCGTAATAAATCACTGCAAACTACACAACGTATACAAGCTTTTTTAAAACATTTGCACAGTTAACTATCCACGAAGTGCTTACGCCTAGATTCAAAATTATGAACTTCCAGAACATTAAACATTCATGTATATACACATATATTTTCATTTTTCTTGTACCATTTGAAGTCTCTTTAGATAGGTTTCAATTTCTAATGGGCGGACTCAGTGAGCTATAAGCAGGACTTCCTGGACAAGCATAACTTCTTTAGATCATAAATGTCATTTTTACAGTGCATTATACATGTGCAACACAAAATTATTAATATAATCAAGACACCATTCTTCGCACGCGCTAATTAGCGCAATGCGTGCTAGCATTTACAACACGTTTTTAGTATATCGGAGCTTCTAAAAAATCATAGTTTCCACAATGATAAACTTTCTTAATAGATCCAACTACATCGTTATCAAAATTTAAGCACTCGCCTTGCCGGGTTTATTTTGAATATACCGCTTCCTTTTTTCATAGCATCATCGATTCTATGAATGATCCTTCGCCTTCTTCTCCTCATGTAAATCACCCAGACTGCAAACAAAAGTAGACCCGTCAGCTGTCGCTTCACAGCAGTTACCTCGTGGTGCTTTATGATTTAGGACCTATAATACTAGTGAGTTTTACTATCGACAGAGAAGATAGTGATTACAAAACATTTTGTTTTTCTCTAATAGACTGTTTATCTCCGTGATGGTTCGTAGGCATTAGAATCATTCGGGAAAGAGATGAGAGGAGTTGTTGTTCTGTCTATTCTGTAAATACGGTTGTATGCTTAGACAAGTTCGCAGATATGACGAAGAAATCAAATCACAAAAATGGGCTGGGTCGTGCCCTCATCAAGGACCGGATACAAAAGGTAATGCTAAACGATCGAGTGTCTAGCAGAAGTGTAAATTAAACTTAGTTTTTGCTTAATCTGGTTGAATACTCTGTTTCTTACGATTTGTAATGTTCTCCGATAGAAGTAATTAAGCCGATGTAGTTCAACCGTTGTTGTAAGCCAACTGTGAAGTGCATAAAGATTGCCTTAAATGATTATTGTTCGATGTTGTTGACGTTATTGCTAATGGTCATCTGGTGTCAAAAACAACCTTTCGCCGAAGTAATTTGGAAATAAGACGGAAGAACTCGAGAGATAATGATATACATACTAATAATAACTGCACTACCTTGTCATATTATATTCATAGATCCTAAAAATGTTGACTCCAGCATTCAAACGCTACGCGTAGGTAGTGAAAAAGGTCAATTGTATATAAACTTCTTGGTGCGACAACGGCAGGAGCCTTTGTTTACAATAACGACGCACACATGTAATGGTGCACTGCACAATACACCTGACCTGCTATAGATTGAAAAATATTACAGATAAACTGTTAGGATCTATTGAAAGAAAAGCTTTTTAAGCTGAGCGTCGGCTGGCCCCAGAATTGAGAGATCTTCAGAATTATCTTTTGGTATTAATTTAATTTTAGCATTTGGCATTCATGTTAATTTGGCTAACATTTACAATCTAAACATCTTCGCTACTTGTCCGTTTATGTAATACCTATTTTGGCATATACCAATGTATTTACTCTCCGTAGCTTGTACCAAGCGGTTTCTGGCGCTCAGTAGCTATGGGAATAATTAAGTGTTAAGAGGAAAGTGCGTAAAAGGATTTTAAAAAGTTATTTACATTGAGAGCCTACGATCCTAGGTTTAGGTTGGCGTTTTTCTCCACAAATTTTACACCACGTTCTTAACGCGGTGTTTGCAATGGCTATAAAGTATATATTGTTATTTATTAGGGTGCCAGGCCGGAAAGTTTTCGGCATACAACAGAAATGAAGGATGGCTACGACTGGTCAACGAATATGACTTCAATCACAGAGCAAAACAATCTCGACGAGTTCCTTGCCACGGCAGAACTCGCTGGAGCGAACTTCACCGCAGAAAAGCTTAACGTCAGGGTACGTATACAGTTATTACAAGATATTGTTATTAAACATGTTATAAATATTAAGATAAACTCGTAAATTTCTCATATGGGTGACCATAAGTGTTTTATAGTTGGTGGATTTCTTGTAGCGGTACTGGTATTAACTTCATACTATGTTTATAACGTGTTTTACACAGGTGGTGACAGATTTGAAGCCTTCTGGGGTGTTGTCTGAAGCAGATCTCAAACTTCAGAAGAAATTGTATGATCTACATCGAAACTCGATAAGGGTACCCCGGCGGCCTCAGTGGAACGCCCGGACTACGGCAGAGGAACTGGACGCTAGTGAACGTGAAGCGTTTCTCGTATGGCGAAGGGAACTTGTTCGAGTACAGGAAATCGAGGGTATACATATGACCCCCTATGAAAAAAATCTTGAGTTTTGGAGGCAACTTTGGCGCGTCGTGGAGCGATCAGACATCGTGGTGCAGATTGTGGATGCGAGGTGGATATCAAATGAGGTGTTTACATTGATAAAAGGTCGTTCATAGCAGCTCATAGAGTTAGAAAAGTCTTTTAGCAGTCGCATTAATTGTAGCTACGTCATAACAGTTCCAAACTTCTATATTTTTTTGTGTATGTATAAAGTGTAGATTTTTTATGACCGTCGAAGTTCATATTTCGCCTTTTATTATTAGTTAGTATGTTTTAAGTTGCTGATTAACAGAAAACAATTTATTTACGTGTTAATAAATGCAGGAACCCTCTGCTATTCTTCTGCGAGGATCTTTTTACTTACGTGAAAGAGATCTCCCCTCACAAAAAGTGCATGGTGCTTTTTAATAAAAGTGACTTTTTAAATGAAGACCAAAGGAGACATTGGGCAGAGTACTTCAAAAAAAGAAATGATGGCCTCAAAGTCGTTTTCTTCTCGGCCCTTGGTGAAGCTATCGTCAAGGATGACGGCAAAGACAATAGCGACGAGGTAAGAAGAACAATGGCATTCCTTAACGCATGCAGTGTATTAGTATTTGGTATTTTTCAGTGCCATTCGATGGGGAAAGCTTATGAATTGTTGCTTGACTTTCGAGATTTGTTTGTTTTCAATGCATCGATAGGAAATTCTGGTGTCCCAGTCAAATGTGGTGTTCTGAATTATAGACCTGACGTTTCGATCCCTTCGGTAGCGCAGTGAATAAAGCAATTGGCTACTGAGTTTTGGGTTATATCGTGTTTTAAGTTCAAGTCCAGTCGTAGATACTCGAAAGGAAACCCTAAAGTTTCTATTGGTATTGCACGGTGCAGTCTTAGGTTTGTCCTTAGATTTCGATGAAAGAATCAGCTAAAAGCTAATATAATAACATATATCTTTTCTATATATATATATATATATAGCATCTTTCGGATGAGCTGTTACGCCTGACGATTGAAGAGTATTCTGCAACACTATGGTCGAAAGAACAGTTGGTTCACTTGTGTCGCACTTGGCATACGGGCGTCAAGTACAAACAGGGATTCACTACTGTTGGTCTTTGCGGATATCCAAATGTCGGCAAGAGCTCGACTATTAATGCAATCACCAAATCGAAGAAGGTTTGTGGGCTTACCATAATGGGTTAGGGCTACCGCGTGTTCTTAGAAGGCTATCAAAATCGCGATTTTGGAATATTTTTGAATAGCCACAAGATGCTTTACTTTCGGAACAGGAATGTACAAGCACTACTCCATTTCAGCCGAATGTATAGAAAAATCTATTTTCCTCAGCAATCAACGATATCTATGCAAGTATTTTAAATTTTGCCTTTTATGAGCAAATAATCTAGCTTTGCTATTCACATGTATTGTTTCTATATTATTGTAGGTATCGGTAAGCAGCACTCCTGGGAAGACAAAGCACTTTCAGACAATCCACCTGTGTAATGATCTCATTCTCTGCGATTGCCCCGGTCTTGTGTTTCCGAACTTTGTTTCCAGCAAGGCAGAAATGGTTATAAATGGTAGGCGATCCGTTTCAAATTATGAAACTTACGATATATTTCGTTGACTTTGCTTTTCAGATGAATCCATACCTTACAACGAATTCGATATGGGCTCATTGAACGAATTTCGAAAAAATGATTTATATGGAAAATATTGAACACTTAAGAATCTTGTGTGAAGTAGAAAATCTTGAATTTAGAGCCATCTGTGGTTACTTCTCATCATCTCAGGTACTTAAAGTTTTATATTTTGGCTTTCATGTCACCGAACAGGTATACTTCCAATTGATCAGTTACGGGATCATGTGCCGCCAGTGTCGTTGCTCTTGTCGTTGATTCCACGTCATGTGCTTGAGGACACATACGGTATTTGTATACCCAGACCTCGAGAGGGTGAAGATCCTGACCGGCCGCCTACCAGCGCTGAATTTCTTAATGCCTACTCCTACAATCGGGGCTTTATGACCTCTTCGGGACAGCCTGACAATTCGCGTGGAGCGAGGTGCGTGATTTCGCCACCAATTCTTCTCTCAGGCACCATCTCTATTTTTGAGGACCTATTCATTTATGAAACGTCTCATTGTTTCAACAGCCTACTCGAGCTTGCTCATATTTCAAACCATATACGATATGTTAAACATGGGGTATTTTTCATGCTTTTATTACTCCTGTTTTGTTGTCTTACAAGTGAATGTTTGCTGCAATTTGTCGTAATTTTTCCGATACCGGATAATTTTCGAAAGTTATCTAATACATAACTGGCAATTGTGGTTTTTGCTTTCAGGTACATTCTAAAAGACTACGTCAGTGGAAAGCTGGTATACTGCATTGCGCCACCTGGTGTCGATCAGGCATCATTCCACGAATTTCCCCAGCCTCGGCGGGCTGGGCCCTCCACAATGTTACCTTCTGACATTCGGATGACTATGGGACGCGTACTAGGAACTGACGAAATTGACAAGAACTTTTTTGCAAGCGAAACTGTTGGCGTAGGGTTCAAGGGTAAGTAAAGCCGGGTTTTGCTCTCTCTCTCTCTCTCTCTCTCGAAAAACGGTTAGCATACGTAAAATTAGGATACAGGTAATATAATTGTAACATTTAAGTATTTATGAATGCTTATGTGTTATATACTCCGCAACTGGCACGTCGTGTTTCAATATCTGTTATACCGGCTAGAAGCTAGTTTAAATATTGCATCTAAAAATGGTTAGCCCTTAATTCAGTACCGTAGTTTTATTTACTAATTGAGAGCGGTACCAATGAGCTGTCGTAGCAAATTTCGATTTGACGTGATCGGTATTGTTATTGATAAGTAGAAGAAGATTCGCATTCCTCAAGAATGCCGTTTTTAAATTAAAAAAAAAATTGGATGTATATTGTTAAATGCGGGACGTAGCGTAATTAGTTTCGACCTGTCTTGCCTTATTTGATTTGTGTTTATGTATATATGGACTTCTGGTTTTAAATTATAGGACGACATCTAGTCAGATCCGGTCTAACCGCAAGTTCCGGCTCGATGCTGGGTGCAAAGAAACATTTCAACAGGAATAAACGAGAAAAATTAAGACGGTTGTATCAGCATAAAGACGCTTAACGGCAACAGGCAACTCGGTTGCGGTATAAAAGTGCTATGTAGATCCGCGTCTAGTTTTTTTGTTACAATAAAATACATTACGCCTAACATATGCTAGTTTTCTATGCGTACGCGTACAAGTGACTCATGAGCTGTGCGAGATTTTTACGCTCCTCGTTCAAAGCGCACCAAGACTTTTAATTTTTGTTGCATTGATATTTGGTTGAAAGATGCACTTGATTGAGTAGCGAGAGCGCTTTCCTGATATTCCTGTAAATAATTTCTGTGGTTTTTTTGAGTAGTTTCGCTATAAAATACCGTTTGGTAAATTCGGCATGTCTTCATTGCAGTCGGTCTTAGCGAATGGTAAACCGTTGAGAACCGTTTTATTCGTCGATATCAACAGCCGTGGCCGGAACGCAATTATAGCAAAATGTGAAACTAGAAGCCTGAAGAACATCAGGTTAAAACAAAGTTGGTGACAATTTTCTTTATCGCCATAATGGAATGGCTAACACTTAACTTGATTTTCCGCTAGTATAATCGTAGCAGTTCGCTCTCAACTTAGTTTAATTAAGTTAAAAAGTATGCGCTGACGATGTCACCAATAGGTGGTACGAACCGTCCAGCCAAAGATCATTTTGTACACGGTGAGGAAAACACATCTATTGTATTGGGTTATTTACGAGTTAGGTAAATCACAGCCGAGCGTGTAATATGTTTTTAATGTACAGAATACGACTTCAGTTCCTCATTGTTTGTAGCGAATTTGAAATAGGATATTATGTTGTTTGTTTTGTTGGATTATGTGACAAGCTTTAGGCAAACAATGTTTGACGCCAACTAACCCAGCCCTGTTAGGCCACTTAGCCGCAACTAATTCTGCGCCCAATATTGCGCCTTCAACTAATAGTCAAGTTACTAGATAAAATAACTAAAAAACAACTGCTCCTAAAAACAAAAACGACAGAAAAAAGTTAAAAACATTGGTGTTAAAATATAGCAGTTATACGTGATATTCCATGCATAATAATCGTTTGTTAAGTTTTAGTCCCGACACTTATCGGCCCTAAGGCTTCGTCGCCCTAAGTAAAGGCAGTGGCAGACTATGTTGCTTCGAATCGCTACGGGGATCACTGCGATCTGACAGATCTAGTTGGCCTGCTGCGGCAAGGGAATTCGCTGGTGCCTTCAAAACCGATACGTTCTTTGCAAACAGGTTTATTTCGGAAGGGCCTGTGAAAAATCAGACGAGCAGTCCGGTCATTGAAAATATATCTTTACCTTTGAAAACTAGATAAAATTTTGCCTATCCACTATGGCGGTCTAGCATCAAAATCAAGATAAAAAATTCCAGTTGAATAAACCATTCGGTAATAACCAAATCGTAAATATTAAGTTCAGTAAAAAAAATAAATGGAATCAATTCTCCATCTAACTATCATTAGAATTGTAGCATGAAAACTTAATCGGGAATTGAAATAGTGTAACGCGCGCTATTGCTGGTAGTTACATAAAAAGAGGATATTACCACAGTTGTAAAGTGGGCAGCAGAAGCCGTTGATGATAACCTCCTGGCATCCTACAGCGGGGGGTGGACATGGCTGCGATAAGCATAGAACGTTGTCATGATAGCACATACAGAATTCACAGGGGTCTTTCGAAGGTAGCTGCTCGGCGTTATTGTACAAACGTCCATTGTACACACATTCTGTGATTGGAAATAGAAATATAACCAACAAGTCATCAGTTCTCGACCAAACCACTTGGTAGGTGTGGGCATTAGTGTATATATTTAAGTATATACAAATATTTCCATATCACACTTCACACTTCAAGGTGTATTGTATAAATTCGACAAAATTATTAACAATAGTGGCAGAATATCTACTCACACCTTTAATAAGAGCTTTATTCACAGTATGCATTTGTTTTAGCAATGGTTACTATATACTGGGATAGGACTTCATGCCCAAACGAGCTCACAGAAAGAGAGATCTACTCGGAAGTTTTACTAAGCAGCAATTTCTGATTCATCCCCTGTCCCTATAGTTTATTTTCTAGCAAATAGACTGTAAATGTTTCACATTTTACTTATATAATCGGCTCTATATGATTAAATTGAATTGAGGCACAAAATTATTGGCGAACTTACGGCTTAAGATAAGTTGGACCAGAAGCGAAGAAGACACAATGGCGAATGCGGTTGTTTGGCGTATGAACAGCATCGCTGCAGCGGAACTTAGCACTGGCTTTCTTAAGCACTTATGCCAGCATTTGTCGTGACGAAGTGAGGAGAAGCCGTAATGATGACCATTTGATGGTCGTAATTCGAAAGGGAATTCTATTTAAATGGAGAAATGATATTACATGTAAGTGATTTTTTTTAAGTGCAGAAAATGTTAGCGACATCCGCCGAGTAGTAAAAGGAAGGTTGAAAGGCCAGCGAGAGGGAAGTTTAGGAGAGGCGCTGGCTATGGCATTTCAGATTAACTGATGATGTCTTTCAAGTGATGTATTCAGCAACGAAAACATTTTTCTCGGAGAAGTCCATAGATCTAATTCTCATCAGTAACGATATCGGTCTAAGAGGTAATCTTTTTCATGGCAGAAAGTATGGTGGCTGCTTTTATCTACGAAGGGGTAAATGCCAGTCAATTCATTTTCGAAGGGTTCGTTCTGACGGTTCGAACAAAGGCGTATCAATGCACGTGTTGCGGCACGTTTACTGCTCATTCATAGATGAACATAGCCAACTACAGGATTTAGGGAAAGAATAAAAAAAATGCAGGATTTAGTAGAACTATGGGCACATTCGAGTGCAAAGGATTGAAAAAGTTGAATACCTATTGCACAAAAAGCTCAGCTTATGTATGAGACATTCTTGCTATTTCCAAAAGAAAAAAAACTAAGACTCAGTAGGATTCTCTTAACACGAAGAATAATTATATCAGCGTTCGTATTATGAGTGGGTACGTTTTACTTGTCAAGTAGAGCTCGCTGATAAAGTGTAGTTCGGTAACGTTAGGCAGGTGTAGTAGTCATTGGAGCGTTATTAACCATAGTTATTATTAGTATGAGGAATTAACGCATAATTAAGAATATAATTTTTCTAGATAGTTGTCAAAGGTCTCGTTATAAGGAAGATTCGAATGCCCATGAGAGACAGTGAGCAGGTGCGGAACCGAGAGCAGGCTTACCTCAGACGTGGAGTGCATGCCCGAGTTAATGTTATAATGCTGCAGCCATCCCGAAACCTATTTTAATGTTGAATGACATCACCTGATTATATCGGTGAAGCCGTTTATAACTTCAATAACACTCGCTTAGGCATGGCAGCGTATCTTTACTCCTAGGTGTCGAAACAGTATCGTAGGGTAAGAGCAAACTTTTTTCTCTGCCCATTTGTTGTATATTCAAAAGCCAAGCGGCGGTACTATTGCACACACGTATTGAAATTGAGAAACTTTACTTCGAAAAAAAAGCGTGAGTTGTTTCAGATGATGGAGTGCTCTTTCAGTTCCTCATCTGGACCGGCTCTACTTTGAGCGTTTCAAAAAAAAATCATGCTTTCGTTCGCACAGTTGTGTGTGATTTAAATTCACATGTTATCTGCGAGTGTGTAAGCGAGCATAAAGTAAAGCTGCTACTCTCAGTTTATATACAAAAATGCACAAAAAACATCAGGCATGTTGTCGGAGCGTTGTTGCGTTGTTGTACGGAGCAGCTATTTGGTAATTCGTAATTTAGTCATTTTACATTGAACTAACTTGCTAACTTAAGAATGGTGACCTTCTCAAGCCCGGTCAATGACACATGCTAAATTTACATGAATAAAAAAGCTTGCAAAAATGTTCTCAGTGTCAAATTGGTGCTACCAGTATAACGATGTGTTCTCATGCAATCGCATTTAACGCACAGGTGAGAGGTTGCAGGTTTTGCGTGTGTTACAAAAATTTGACAAAAAAAACTTTTGAAACTGGTGTTTTACATTCTCATAGAAGATTTTTAGCGTTTTTTAAAAATGAATGTTCCTTTAGCCCATATTATCATTATCTGCTGTATTGTCATAGAAGGGATGAAACACATCGTACTTCCGCAGAGTACGTATTGTAACTTTTACCTTGCAACTTGTTGTGATGGTAAATTGAGTGTCGTGCTGATTGCCTTCTGATACGCTAAATTTCTTTAATGCCAACTCGGCGAACAATATTACCAATTAATAGAAGCGAAAACTTTGAAATATTATTGTCATAGAATAGGATTACTATATTTTACAAGCAAGTGCAAGGTTGAGTTACCTCGATGTAATAATTATACCTTGGAGTTTTTACAAAGAATGTTAGTAAGACCGTCTGTCGTTTCCCTGGTGTTGATCCTGATTGTAACTCTAATGCAGTGTGCCAACGCAACATAATACATTAGGCAACCAGTGCACTGCGGAAAGTCTTCTACTGCAATGCTGATTTGGTTTTGGATATTTTGGAGGGTCGGCTGATGCAATGATAATGTAATTTTCGACCTAAAATCGAAAATATCTAGGGTACTTTGGAGCATCCGCTACCTAGAGTCTAAATAGCTGTGGCATGTAAGTTGCAGTGGCAGTAAGTTACTAAGAGTTAGTTGATGTATTGCTGCTTTTGGAAGATAATTTACTTTTTGCAAAATTTTCCCTCGTATTTGATTTTTTTTTTTCATTGTTTGGTGTCTTCAAAATTTAATCACTATTAACGTAGCAAGTTCTTCAGCGTTTTATTAGTGCAAACTGGCATACGGACGGGCGTGCGTGAATTCAAACGCCACGCCATTATTGGACGAAGTTCGACAAGTATTTGCGTAAAATATTCGGTTATTTACAGGTATGAGCTAATCAAGTTCCCTCACAGAATAACGCGTTTAAAGCCAAGCTATCGCTCAGTTCGGAAATCAGCGCTCAATGCTCACGTTTCTCTTTTCGAAGATAAAGGCACTGATGCATTTCATCGAAGTTTTACGAAGGCGCTGGACAAGGGGGCCTTTAGGAAAAACGCTTGCTGCCGGTACAGTTCTTTATGCGAGTGAAGTGCACCCCAGTACGTTAAAGGATGGATTAGTCGGTAATGTATATATATGATTGCGTACTAATCTTAATGACACGTTGTAATCTAAATTCGAACCCGGGCATAGATCCACCTCGTTTCATACTGGGAGCCAGCCGTTTGGTGGTATGCCTAACGGCCATAGCGGATGAAAAGCTCGACACAAACGACTTCGTGGGTATTGTGGGACATAATGGGTTATTGTGATTACGGAAGCTTAGGATAAAACAGAACGTGGATAATGTGTTTCCTGTCAGCTCAATATGGGATTTCTTTGAGCATATGCTATAGAAAGGACGAATAGAAGCGAAAAAAATAACATTGACTTTGCGACAGATTGAAACACGTGCAGCGCATTAACTCGAGTTAGTGCAGTCTGTACCGCGTACTGGAGAAGCCTCAGACAGGGAGAATAGCCTCAAAAATCATAACGCCGGTATTTAATAGATTCGGATGGAAGCTGCTGCTCATACTGGCAGAATATATTAGTGGTACTCATAATGATGATGAGACAATGCCGAAAGGAGAAACAGATATCGTTAACTCCTTAAGAGCTTCTCGGGTATGGGCGGGAAGGTGACCCACACATACCCACAGTGCGCGATGATTCAACGACAACGCGCAATCTCGTCGCTGCTTTTGAATTACGGTTCGGAAAAAAACAGAACCTGGTGATGTCGGCAGCTCTTACGTTCCCCAGATTTTAAGTTTGTACGATTTCGAGTCGTTCTACGCCCCAAAATGACAATACGTGATGTAGCCAATTCTATCGTCGATTGTTTCAAACAGGGCACGACTAATGAGATTAAGCGCGATAATGCAGACGAATGCACAGCAGTTGCGGAAGCTCGTAAAGCACTGAAAGATAATGTGTAGGCAATAAAAAACAGTACGCCTAACATACAAGAATAATATTCTACATTGTATACTTTGAACATTTCGACTACCGAAATGATCCCAGAAAATCAGAAGAATGGTAATTTCCTATTCTGCTCGATCCCTCCAGATGGCTCGTCCAGGACCTCGAGGTGATGCTCAACAGCGACGCTTGTGAGCGGTAGAAAAGTTAGGCTTGAAAGCAAGGCTAAACAGATTTCGTTTCGTGCCGCCAGCCGTCTAAAGCAGCGTCTAACAGCAGTACCCGACGTAAAACTTTAACCACGTAAAGTTGTTTGTGGGTAGCCCGTGGGACCTACTCAACCTTTTTGCGCCGAACACAATAAGAAGGAAACTTAAGAATGAACGTTGTGCGAAACCGCTGCACAACTTTACTTCGCCTGAACAGAGTCTGTTGACTGTGGGAATTATATTTGAACCATTAGGACTTGTAAAAGCGGCTGTCAAAAAAAGGAAGGGTATCGACAAGTACTGCTTTCGTACGCACATAGATTTTTATACGTGTGGATGGCAAATTCGTTGACGTGCATGGAAGCAAAGAGGTGATTTTTCTAGATTATTCTTACTGAGGTAGTTGCATTTGCAGCGCCAGCACTCAACCATTTAGATCTTTTGTGCCATTGTACTAAAAAAATACACACGGTTTAACGGGTTCGGATTTTTTTGATTGCCCTCCTTGTAAGTAATTTGGAATATAAACTATGTATCGAAATTCCTCCCTGAACAAAGAGAATTTAAAATGCCTCTGGAGGCATAAAAATATCGGCATATCTACCCATACAACGCACAATAAATTTGATAAAACAAAGGTTCGAAACGGATAAAGAAGCGAACGCTGCTTCCATGGCATGAACAAAGAACGTCAACGGCTTACTCAGCAAAGAAAAACTATTAACAAGTTATGGTGGAAAAGCTGATGAGTCGTTAACAGCAAATAAAATACGCATCGAATTTTCAAACGAAGTAGATTTGTTGTGTTTCAATATGCTGTCAATAAAGATGATCCAGGCCCAAATGGTAGTTGAAAAATGTAGTTACAATTTTCATACAGTTATCACTGTTAAACTGTAAACACAGTTATCAGAAAAGATCGTTTAAAGATTAATTAACATGATTAACTGGTATAATTGCACTTACTAGGCGACTGTAAACGTTGCATAGCATAACTTCCTCAGGAGTAATAGTAATGTATTTGTGTCTCGTTCTGGACAATGGCGGTGGACTGGTGCCAATTACTTGAATATGCTTTAAGATTTTGCTTTACCTCGCGTTCGGAAGGACCTTCGTGAACGTGATAATTTTGTTCGAACAGCACAAAGCACCATCATCGTCGTGTAAAAGGATATCTTAACGAGGATCTTTCAGGACGACAACGCCCTATCAAACACACGGTTCTGACGCCAGTATTTTTTGTTGTTGTCGAGATATCTCTAAATTCAACCTATTCCAGAAAAGCAACGACATCGGAAGATTTGAAAAGCGCAATAGCGTAAAATCAGATAATTGTTAGTTTTCGTCTCAGTAGCCTATTATCGGTATTAAATTAGACCAGTGATCATTTTTTTGAACATAAAATAATCCCATAACATGGGACAAGAGAAAATTGTTTTCCATTACGTACATTCTATATATAGACTTTTTGTGCGTTTGACGTGGCAACTATTAAATTTGTGCGTATAGAGACACTGTAGTGACCGTGCGATGTAAATAGACCCGCTTATCATATCCGCTACCCTACGTAAGCTAACAGAATGTGCTCGAGCTTACTAACAAATAGTCGAGTTCAGGCATTGTGCTGCTCTAAACATTTCGAATAATACGCCCGATAGCAGCATTCGGCGGTTCGTCAGACGGTACACCGTACACTCCGACTACATGCTTTTCGTAGAATCAATCGATTTTATGCATGCTAGAAAGAACGTGCGCAATTTTTTCGTACAGTTCTTTTTTTTAACCCCAAAGTCTTCCAAGAGGAAAATACTTATGTTATTCTGTCACCAGATACGGCCACTTTGAAGACGGACAAACTGGTCCACGGTAGTGGTAGTAATACGATTTTGGCGGGAAAATGTAGGTCAGAAAGACAGAAAAACGCCCGCATATGAGTATCACGGCGAGAGCCCAAACGGCAAAAGAGTTTTTGTCTGGACTAAACCGATCTGTGTATAGTAAAATGCGGATATATCTAATAAGGACTTGGAGAGCAGGTTTTCGCTTGAGATCAAAAAATAATGTATCGGCACCGTTCGTGGTTAAGGTGAACCATTTGTTAGGTTCCGGTCAGTGTTCAGGTTGAATGTGTACTATTTTAGTGAAGTAAAAATGTCCTAAATGAGAATCAAATGTCATTTGTAGTAATATGGTGAACGCTTTGCCCTAAAAAATCGCCAGTTTTTGGTATGACGCCTTGTTTATATAGTCGGGCGTAATGTTAAATATTATGGAGCTTGCACAAGTTAGGAAGGAAACTTTAATCATGCCAAATTGAATACAACTTATCTTTGAAGTCTAAATAAATTTTGATCTGCTTGTTTTTGAGAATAAAGGCACTCAGACGAATGTTTTTATTCTTATTCGATGATCCTTATTCGACTTGAAATTTGTGATATCGTTGTAGAATATATTTTTGTAGTCATAGATATTTCGGATCTTTATACTATCTTCAGCGCGTTACTCTGCTAAACAAATATATTAGTTTACCTATACCTATAATTCCTATTTTGTATCTAGATGAGAGGGTCCCGCTAAAATCGTGCACGCCTTACAATCTATAATAATAACAACAACAACAACAACAACAAATAATGCTAACAGCAAGTTTTTACTCGTCATTTTTTTGTTACGGTCGAAGCTGCATGGGCTATGTGGCTAGCCTCAATGAAGACGCAACTAGTAGTTGGTAATCTAAAATGAGTGTAACTTAGTATATGTACGCCATGAACAAGCGACAGGTAACACTTGTTCGCATCCTCTTCGATTTCTTTTTGCTAATGTAGATAATTCGAGCCCGAAGGCCAATTTCTTAGACGAAAGAAGAAAAAAAGACTTATAGCCACCTGGACAAACATATCTTCCCCTCTTTCCGCTAAATATATCACCTCTTTATAGAATGCAAGCCGCTTGAATTTGCGAAGCGACACGATGAACTGACGGTTTCCCTCTAGAAGTGGCCGAACTATAAGACGACACGGTAATCGTTGAGGGGTATTTTGAGCATAAGGAAAATGCTGATAGGATTATTATTGAAATGTAACGCATCCTTTCCTGAAAGCATAGAGGGCAAACGACATCAAACTGTGTTATTTAAGTAATCTTTCTCTATTCTGCTGCCAAAGCGCTAGGTAACGCCTACGAATTTCGTTCTCCTACGAAACAGCGTTGAACCTCTTCTGCTACTTAGAGTGCCGATTGAAGAATAATCACTGAGACTCACGAACTTTGTTAATTTACAATCGACACATGAATTTTTATTGCCACTTACAGATTTCGGGAGCCTATTTCCGGAGAGACAAAATTTTATTGCACCGGACTACCTACTGGAAGCTAGCTGCTGGAAAAGATGCGGGAAATTTGACCAATATTCCAATCTCTCTTGGCGAGCACCAGGAACTGATCTGTTTGAATGGACTTAAGGACTGGGCAGAAACTAAATAAACCCCGAAATTTTGTCCACTTGAACATTGTCGAACGCTACGGCCTAGATTCGTGGGAATCCTGGTGGACGATGATTTTGTTAGGTTCTACGACTATGTATATGACAGCCTCAATTCGCGTCAATGGTTTCATATTCATCCGTTTGTTTCGAGATTTCCTACTCACTCGCGAAGAGGCCTCTTGGCCATTCGCCGTACGGAGTTTCTTTGTGCAAGTCGCAGGTAAGTAGCAATTAGCTATTGCAATGCATAAAAATACCACAATGCTATTACCGAATGAATTCAGCATCTGTCTATTTCAAACAAATCGTTCAAATTATATGGATGTCTATTTGTATTATTATTTCATGGGATATATTTTTAAATAAAAATTCGTAAATAACCAGTAAACCTTTCAAAATATTTTGCGATTATATGTTTACCGATCTGAGTTAGAATCAAGACGAGTGTACAAGGGACAAGCCTTGAAACTATTGAATTTGCGAAAAGATGTAGTTGCTGAGCAAGCGAAATTTTTAAGGATTTACCCGTTACGAAAAAAGGATGTTCCCATAATAGGTAAGTTGGTTCTGCCTTCGCCTATAACGTAAAATTTTTGTTAATCAACGTTCTATATGGCGTCTAAACATTGACAAGCTGATACACTCCTTTTTTTTTCGTATAGATTGTAGGGCTGTGTATGTAATACATTCACTATCGTAGCACTTATAGACATAATTTCATAGAATTGGTGGAAATTGTCGGTTTTTTAAAAAAAAATTGTGGTACGTCTCTCTTCGGCGACAACTATTAGAACGTTCTCAAGACGTCTTGGCATGACAATGGAGGCATGGGTTTTCAATATAGGTACTTGTATTAAATGAGCAGAAAGTTTTAGTAATAAAAGTCATCTATTAAAGAGAATGTCTGAGTTGAAGGTTGATAGGTCTAACTTGAAGATGAAGGTTATAAAAAGTCAGCAAAATTGAAGAAATTGCAAGCTTAGAATTTATTGAATACCTATCAACTAATTTTAACATGTAGAGATTAAACCATGTCACTTACTGAATTGTAGTGATATAAATAGTGATACGTTTAAAAATATATCATGTAAACAATTTCCTAGCACATCAGTAACTGGATGAATTTTTGTCATTTTCTTTTGCCACTTTTATCTTTTAAGCGAGTGAGAAAAATCCACTCGTAAAATAACAATAACAACAACAGGACTGATAGCGCTACGCAGTCTTTCGCGTATTTCTTTGTATGCGACAACTAAACCAAAACTATTAGCCAAGAACGAACGATTTATTTTTAGGGATATTTTTGATGAAAACTCAAATATTTTAACACCAAATGCTAATTTCTGGCGTAATTGATTTCAGCACCAATCGTAGAGCAGTGGTTCTCACACATGGTTATACCTAGCACTAGAGTACTAACTGTCGTTAGTTCTCTGCTATTTTGTGCGGGATCCCTTGACACTGACAAGCGTTCAGGCGGGATATTTTACCTGCAGCTACATAAGTCCTCTGTAGTCCTCTTCGACAAACGAGCTACTGGTACGGCGGCATGATTTGACACTTTCATTACAATAATCATTACTACGGAAGTATCACAATACCTAAGCACTATACGTTTTTTGTGGTTCGTTTCGATCAATTTCATCCGAACGGAGAAAAATTGATACGAGCGTACAATATCTGTTTCAATGGACGAACGCTTATCTTCGTTCTGCGTCTACATAGGTCTATCGACAACAATCTCATCGTTGTACATGCCTGCTGTATATCCAATATGGAACGCGTGGCAGTCGTCTCCTATTGAGCACAGTGTCTCTGCATACAACTGCCATTGGTTTGGCCATAAAAAACATGAGTTCATTGGTGGATACATACGGCATAAGGATACAAGCTTGGCTTGTGCTTTCCCTTCTGCGGGCTCTTTTATTGGCTGTGTAAGTATTTCAAGGGATTCCACAGTTTCTAATACAGCCAATCAGCTTGAGCGCATTGTCAGTTATGACTCCTCGTCAAAGTGCTCTCCGGTCGTATATAGTTTTATCGCAGATTAACAAAAAGGTACTGTTAAGAGCCCATATCTGCGTATTCGTACTTGTTCTCTGTCAGAGCTTATACAAGGAACTGAGTTAGCAGTTTTGATGTTTATCTAACAAAATGTTGCAGAAGAAGAAGACAAGCTAAAGCATGAATTGACTTCAATTAAGGAGGAACCGGGTGTGCCATCAAACGCAATCGAAGACGGCAATCTTGCACCGTCAGCTTCGTCCGCCTCCGTTCAGCAACTGGGCAATATGGACGGACCTTCGACGGAAAGGCGCAGCAGATGCTCTTCCGCTATATCTTCAGTAGTTGATGAAACCGGATCTGTTGTTTGTGTTGAGATTCTTGCGTTACCGTTATCTCAAGGTTTTTCCTATATTTTGACCCATTTTTTTCTAACTTGAAGCATGCTATTTGTTTCTTTAAGATCTTGTATATTATGTATTACATTATACGAATAACGCATCTTTTGTAAATGAGCGCTTTTCTTTCAGAAGACATAACGAAAGCCGTTGCAGAGAGGAAACCAAACGTCCCCCAAAAGCCCAAAACATATTTTGAAGCCTTACGTTCTCTGCTGACCGTTACATGTTTCATCGACACGTTATCTTTTGCAGCCATATTTGTAATAATAACAGCCTTTTGTCAGGTAGTACTTATAATTTATGAAGTATGAAGGTATTTACCGCACTTACAAGCGCAGGCGAACTATCGGCACGTGTTCCAATGATTGAAGTTCATTTTACGTTCCGCTATTAGAGCTCGAGTTGTGTTGTTAAGAAATACAATTCATTCTTGTAAAAGACTCGTGCAATACACATACCTTCGAAATTTCCCGCCTTTATGAGTAAGGCATAAGCTAATGGCGATAGTGATAATAGTCCGCTTTAAGTGAACTGGCCTAAAAATAGCTTGGCAGAATCGTTTACGCTTGCAAAAGCATGATTAAACAGATCACGCTGTTATAACAGCGCCTTAAAGTTAAAAAAAAAATTGTTTTCGAAAGCTTTCTGAACGTCCGCTCATAGGTTGCCGTGGACTACGCTGCTGACAAGCGACTCGGCAGCAAAACCTCAACGTGGTGCTTTCACACGTATTGCGTCGGCGATCTGCTTTTCCGAGGAGTAGCTGGCTTATTGTTGAAAGCAAACCACTCTCTACAATAGGTGTAATGACAATTGGTAGGCACGTCGGTCAAAGAAAGAAATAAAAACAGAACGAGTATACATTTGTACCCTATGATACTTTTTTCCTAATCTAACTATACGGTACGGCTTCGTAAAAGATTTTAGGGTACAGATGTGCTATGAAGTGCACGTGGATTAGGATCATTATCAATAGACTTTCGTTGGTCAAAATACATTTGCACTAATGTATAACTGTGGTCAAGAGTTTCCCAATACCAGAGCTACATTTTGCACGTACAGGTTTTGTCCTCCAGTGGGCTGCCCTTCTGATGCTCACTCTGAGCACGTCTATAACTGGTGTCCCGACTGCTTGTTTCCTTATGGGAGTGTCCGATGGGGCTTATTTACCATCATTCTCATAGCTGATCTCGGTCTGGCTGCACTCACGTATACGTTAATTTTTGGGAACTCTATTAACGGATTTGCCGGTCGTTTTATTACTTCAGTTTTATTTGTAGTACGGGGAACACCTGACAGTACGTTAGGAATAGCTTTAACGATGAAGTTCACACAATAATTGTGACCGTTTTATAAGTAGAAAAGCATTCTCCGGTAAGTAGAATGGGATCCATACGAGGTAGTAGTGGCAGTTGGTAGAATTAGCAATAAATAGCTTTTATATTTGTGCTAGTTACAACTAACTGTTGGATCTGTGGAGTACGAACACAATATTTCCTAGCTAATTAAACTTGCCGTATATTTAATACGATTTCAAAAGCTCATTGCATGTTTCAGGTTAATTTAAACGAGTACAACGGACTGTTTTTTTTTTATACTTATATGAGTGTTAACATTATTTTTTTGTTTTTTTGGGCAAACCGTTGGCTACACTCGAAATGTTAACCGTCTTCAAAATGCCCTCGACGTCACAGCTTTGAAAAGATACTATACCACGCGCGTATACTTGCACGACGACTTTGTTCTAAAAAAAAACAATTTGTTAAACATTCAACTGATTATGCTTTCTCTCATATACATTTGCACTTTATTCGATATTTCATAGATAGTATTCTTTGTCTATCATCGCCGTAGTTTAGGCGTAGTTTATCTGAGAAGTTTTTTGCTGATTGAATTGAACTTCACTTTACATAAAGCTGGAAAAATGCAGTTATGCTTGGATTTAAATGTGTGTTCTGATGTTCGTTTTTCTGAAATTATTTGATCTGAATTATTTGATTGACCAACTTCTACTTTTTTTTTAGACCTTTTGTTCTTCCGACCATTAAAGTCATCAATAATGCAACTAACTGCTAAATGTGGCACTATTTCGTATCACAACAATCAGACGCTCAAACTCGCTGGAGCTTTCAAGTATCAGAAGGGACGTATCTTAATTCCTAATAAATTCCTTGTATTTAGTAATTATGCTTCCAATTCATCTAGTTTACTTGTGCTAATAAGATATCGAAACCGCATGATAACGTCAGAACAGATATATTGTCTGCCACGAAGTCTTTTCGAAATGTGTTTCCGTTTTTTCCGATATTGCGTCTCTTGTAGAGTTTAGATGCTGCATGGTTTAAAACCATGAGGATACCCTTGGATTTGACCTGTTTTTGAAGTACGAAGTTATATGTAGTCAAAGTAGTTACATGTATACCTGTTTAGCATCAAATGCAACTTTTGCGGACCGGATTTGAATAGCGCTTTCTGTTTTTCAGCTGTACATTATACACAGCTGTACACTGTAAACAAGAAATGAATTGCATAAAATGAGAAATAAAGACTTGCTATAGCTATTAATTAGTCGATTGGCACGAAAAAGCCATTTTTAGTGCCTCTGTCATTGTTGTATGTTGTGGCCTAAATTAACATTGGGCCGAAGCGATTCGCTACGCTGTCAGGAAATTTCTATCTGCGAGATTGGCTGTTTTGCATTCGTCAAAAAGTTTCAGTGTTCTGTCTTCTTTTAAATGCATGGGAAAAATTACACTTTTAGACAGTGTTAATATCGATATCGCATGAATCATACGCCCGCTTCTTTCAGCTCCTTCGAGCGTCAGGCAGGATGATTTCCTTTTTTCCCAATCCATTTGTTTTATATGCATCTTCTGTGGAGAAAGAAATTTCAGCTGTAGTTCGGAACACTATTCTCCATTCGGAATTAATTCTTCCAAGTAAACAAAGTTTTTTTTATTATCTATAACCCAAGAGGACATAAATTATGTCGATTGTACATATTACAAAGTGCGTCTAATACGTAACAGATGCTTCGGCCATGGCACAATAAACGCAAGACAAATATGTTTGTTTAAAATGCAGTTACTTCATATATATGTTCACAGAAAATTTGCTATAATGTATGGTCTCGATATTTTTCGAGGAAAGTAGGTGAAAATTATAGATAGACACCTTGTCGCTAGTACCATTATACTATACACTGTCCCTTGAGTAAACTCCGATCTAAAAAAATTTTGAGTAAGTCTTTCAGATAAGATATAGCATTTTAAGGTTCCCGTCAATTCAACGCAGCTACTGAAATCGGGTTCAAAAAAACCTTTAGCGTTCACGAAGCAAACCGAAGCGTGTCTTAAAGCGCTGCATCAGCCAAGAAAATGTGACGAGGCAGAAGCCCTTAACAAAGACTATTACGTGTAAAAGATTTAAATAAATAAAATCTTTCCTATTTCAACCTCATTAGAGCATTTGACGTTTCGCTATGATCGAAGTTTTTTTTCTAATGTGAATTTGTCCTACCCCACTTAGTAGAACGTACGGAAGGGTTATAATGCGGGTACATACAAAAGCTTACAAATGTGCGCCATAAAAGTTTACCGCGGATTGGCTTTCTACCAAAACAATCTGTTGAGCCCGAAAACAGGTTACACGTTGCCTTCGACGATAGCCCTCTCCAGTCCAAGGATGTCTCTCACCTTTTTGCGTTAGTCCCCTCTCTCGCCGGCCGGCCGACTTGGCCTAGATAGAGACTACGATGTTTGTTAACACGTGCGCTGGTGACTTCGTGCGAAAGACACCGTCAGTGGCTATGGGTCTTTAGCGGCCGGCGCTGATAGCATATAGTTGCGCCCGACCAGTTCTCAGGCTTACAGGTTATTCGTCGGCCTCCTTAAATTGTGGCAGCTTGGCTAACTTACCCGAATTTATGTTCATAAGGGTGATATCATAACACGCATGAGTAGATCAGTGCAAGCAGTGATTGAAAGCTTCGTATGGCTAAAAGTGAGTGAGCTAAGTGCGATCAGTATCCTGCCAAATCAGCTAGTTAGTTGGTATTTGGCCCAGGTGAATGAAACGGTACAGTAATGTAGTAGGTGTCAATGTAGTAATAACTAGTAAAGTAACATTTACAAGCGATTGTAACCGACTCTGTTTAGTGTGCCAGTGTGTACATGGCTAATTTTTTTTTTCGTTAACCCTCATGTCGGCATGCGCACGCCTGCAGATTAACTGAACGAGGCCTGGTATGCGCCATATAATGAAAAAAGTAGAACAAACGTTTCCGACAAGCCTTGTCATGAAGGCAAACTGATCATGAAAGTTTTGCACATAAAGTTCATAAATTCTTCGCACAAAAGTAAGAATATTAGCAAATGACACAGATAAAGATATTTATCGTGCTTAACGTTGACTATCGTTGAATGTGTATGGATGCACCAATTATAGTTGGCTGATACCAACTATAGTCATACTGAAGATGAATGGTGGGCACGTGGTCTGTTCGAAGCCCACCACTGTCCTTATACAGTTAGACACTCAAGCGGTACGGGAGAATAAGGGAAGAACGTGACACTTCGAAAGCCGGGCTGATATTTTTGAAAGCATTACACACAGCGGCAGATCTGTGTCATATATATATATATGAAGATGACTGAAAACACCTTTCTAGTCTATCTTCCCTTTAGGTTCGTTGTGAAAGAAATTCAAAGACGAGAATTTGCAATCGCTTTGGGAACTCAATCATTAGAAACCCAGTGCGTTAATATTTTTTAAATAAAGGAGGTTCTTCTATTACTGTATATGTTCATGCTTCTACTCAATATATTTTGAATGTTCTTAGGATTCATTTTACCGTAGTTGATTGGTAGGACTCTTTCAAACGTACATACGTTAATTCGTTGTTATTCTTTATCAGGAGTTATTTTACTGTGTTTTAGGCTAGCTATATATTCGAAGTGTCCCATATTTGCTGAAAAAAAAATTTTATGGAGTTAACGTAAGAAAAAGCGTGTACAATGATGCACCGTCGTGGAACACAAATCTCTGAAACACATGAGAACACAAGCTGTAGACAAAAAGTTTAAAGTGTATCTATGTAAAATAGATCTGTGCAATTAAAAAACGAAAAAGCAAATAAAAAAAAATCATTCATTGCAGAGTTTAAGTGGTCAGCGTACCGTTTCTTTTCTGCCAAGCCTCCCAAGTAATAATTAATTTTTCGTTTTCATATAATCTTGCTGTCAATTCGTTATCAATAATTATACACGCAGTAGTAGCGATAATATTTTAGTAAACCTAGATTTAGGGTGATTATTATGTATTTAAATGTGCTTGTAGACAAAAAAGTCAATAACATTTTTCTCCTCTGCCCCTCAAAAAAGCAGCAACAAAAAATATTACTCAATATGTTGGAATATAAATCTAGGGTTCGGTAGTCGATAATAGTTCTAGATCTAGAATAATTATCGGTGTACCAATATAATGAGTCTGTCTTCCCGAAAAAAAGAAACAAGTATATGCGTTTAAACGCCTACAGTTTTATCCACAAGATATTTGTCTTAGATTTGATCGATTTTTACCATCTTTTTCTATCACGGACCCTGTATTGCGGATGACTCATCCCTTTCGGTAGCTTTTCACCATTTTTATTGTAGGATAAGTGCAAGTCATAAAAAAGTTCCAAAGTGAAGAGACTTTTCAGGTTAAACGACAGTATGCAGCACGATAGTTTGAAACCCTATTGCCGTAAATAGCTCAAATGAGTAGCTTGTGTTAGACTTTTTCAACAGAAGGGGCTATCTCACGTCAGCTCAACTCAAAGGGGCACACAACGCCAACACCCGAAGAACGGGCACCAGCTTTTAGGCGTGCTCTTATAATTACAGCGCGCTCCTTGCTACACATGGTAATGGTTCAGTGCCGTAGAAATGTACACGAGCCTGAAGGTTTTCGACCACATTCCCATTCCCAATGGTGTCTCGCAGTAAACGAAACTTATGTCCTCCTATGTTATCTCAATTAATGCTCGACTACGTTGGGCAGTTTCTCAAGGTGTATTTTACGATTTCAGATTATTTCCTAATCGATACCTACAGTGGCTTAATCATACTCGTGAAACAGCTGACAATAGGTTAGCTACATTTACACTTAGTCCACCGAAAACAACAAACGTTTAAACTCAGATTTTGTCCTGTCAAGAGGCTGGAATCCAAAAATCGCTACAGATTTTTGTTTCATAGATTGGCATGTAAGGCCTATTGCCGGACTGTAAGGCCTATTGCCGGACTCGCAGAAAGCTTTCCTAATGCTCCTATTACTTTATTATTGTGTGTTGTACTTTACCACTTCGGAAACCTACGCCCTGTGACAATCACCTGTACGTTGGTAGAACAACTCAGCGTTTATTCTATTTGAAATGAATGTTGTGAAACTATTATTATCTCTAGTAATTCAGCGTATTAAATCTCAGCGTCAGCAAAACATCCATATTAACTATATAATTAGAGAGAAGTAACAACTACCTAAATAATAATAATAATAATAAGTTTGGAGAGTGAAGTTCTGTACTTAGTTGTTTTTATATTCAGTGCTAGAAATTCGTACGCGGTGTTGACGAGATGCATCAAACTGGATGGATTTCTATACGTTTACATGTTGAATGCTCGTTTCGTATTTATCGTGTTTGCAAATCATTTGTATTTGCCGAGGTACGCTAATGTTTTATTTTGCTACATTATTTAACTAATGAATGAGTTTGACGTTTAGCTTGTGTCTGCAAATTAGGAAATTTTTTTACAAGTTTTTCTTCACAAACAAACGCATGTATGTGATCCGTAAATATTTTTTTCTCTCTTTTTACTGTATATTTGAGCGTTGATTACATACAAAATGGCCCCCAGTTGATTAACGACAATGGTATTGTCATTGTCGTTGTCATATTCATTTAAGACTAATGTCTTAAATGTAAAGATGATAATTTTTGTATCCCCTTTTATCTTGACAAATCCGTACTAGTTATATTACTTACTAGGACCAAATACATCGTACATATATATATGTATATATATATATATATGTTTCTAAAAGATCAATGTTGGGAACTTTGATATGAATGGTCAATGATATGAATGATGCCAATGATATGAACAGTCAATCAGCTAGTTGACGCTGAATTTAAGCCTCGAATTAAGAATGAATATAGAACATATGTTCGAAGTTTAGAAAAATTTAATTTAGAGCTAGACAAAAACAGGCTTTCATATGTTTGTTTCAACTGTGACTTTATCTAAATAATCACACAAGCTAATGTTTACTGTAAAGCTACTTTGCCGTTCGACTATGATTGCCACAGGCTTTATAGAATAATAAGTGCTAGTGGATAGAGTTTACTCCCTGTAGGATTTAAATATTACGAATCCTGTTAGATAAATAAGCGTTTTAGGATGATTTTATCGATGTTTTACTATAATACATATTAGCAAATAAGTACAATTTGTTTAATCAAATAGTTTACTATTTATGTTCTTTAAGGATGAATTGAGAACGAGCAGAGCAGCCTTTCTAGATAATTTGCACAGCAGTCAGCTATCTCCGTCAATCATCTACGGCGAACGCCCAAAGAGACTCTTCAGCCAAAATGGAAAGGAACGAACAGGTAACAAACATTGCAATAGTACCCCACATTTAACCTTTCTTTCTTTGTAACGGACATTTTCATTCACTTTGCTGACACCTCCCAATTTTTCTCTTTTAGGTGGAATTGAAGAAGGAGATCGGTCTTCTTTCTGGTGTACTGATGGTAGTAGGCACTATTATTGGCTCAGGAATATTTGTATCCCCCAAGGGGGTGTTTCAGCATGCGGGTTCTGTAGAGGTCGCTTTGCTCGTTTGGGCGTTATGCGGCCTATTCTCATTATGCGGTGGAATCTGCTATGCTGAGTTGGGTACATCAATTCCCAGAAGTGGTGGCGACTACGCGTATACCCTCGAGGCGTTCGGGCCGCTACTGGCCTTTTTAAGGCTTTGGATCACGGTCATAATTGTTCAGCCGGCCACCCTTGCCATTCTATCGCTCGCGTTCGCAACGTACCTTATAAAACCATATTACCCAGACTGCGAGCCGCCGGATACTCTTCTGCGACTTATCGGCATACTCTGTTTACGTAAGTGTTCTCGTGTGTTGGATTGTTTGCAAAGTTCGCATCAATTGTATGTAGTATAATTTCTTTAACTTAACCTGCTCAAATACAAATGCTGTTGACATACAAATACTTTGCGCCCAAAGAAAGATTCAAAATATTTGTAAAAATTGCGGTGCGCAATCAGCATCAAAACGAGTTTGACTTAAAAACCGTTAACAATCAGCCGAATCCATAGAATACGCCTTTAAGCTCCTAGAATGTGTAATTAAAATGACTGTGTTGAACGTATAAAAATCACCGTCCAGTTTTCTTAAATAGACATATCATGCCCTTACGAATGCTTCTCAATTGGCCCGAGACCATGGGCATTTGTAGATGAAGAATATTGCTAGTTTAACATATTCACTAAACTATATTAGTATGGTCACAGGTCATGTGCAAGAAATGAGCACCGGCTTTTAGCCCTGGAATTTTTCATAGTGGAAACGTGTTGTCCATCTTAATTTGGATAGCGCTATAATGTTATACTGTGATGGCTCAAGGGCTTTACAGGACCGCTCATTCTACTAACTGAAGCCCCAATATATTTTCAAAGAAAACGTGGTGCATTTCTATAAATGTTCCGTAAATGTTTATAACAGTCCAAAGGCTGATAAAATATCTGAAGCACTAGAAGTGTTTCTATGTAAAGATTAAAACATTTCTAGTCCCATAAAATAATAATAATTATACGTCCCAAGCTGTAAGATGCAGTAAAATTTTATTGCAAATGTTTATTTACTACGTTTGCTTTGTTACGGAAACTCGACGAAATATAAGAATACGTCTAACTGGCGAACGTTCAGTTCTTATCCTGTTTAAGGATGAGTAGTTAGCATCCGACAGACATGTTTCCAGAAAGCCAGAGAAAGCTGAATTTCCAAGCAGGTATATTCTAGGAACTATTACACACCTTCGGAAATGAAAAAGAAACTGAAATGGTGTGGGCTTAAACAGAGGTCTATAATGCTCCACACAATCCCGTACCACTAAATGCATATTTTAGGTAGGTACGTGTACGTATACGTGGTGCAGCATTCCGCTCGACCAAAACTATCAACCTGTTTATTAACCCATACACACGAGAAGTGTTTGCTGAAGGTGTCACCATAATTATGTACCCATTACGCTGTTTTGGTTTAGCCTGCGCACCTTGGTTACATCCCAATAAGGAATTCGTCATATCTACTAAGCATGTACCTGCAGCACAAGACCTTGCTATATCTAGGAATGTTTCCTTGCCTGCTCGAAGACTCTAAACTATATCGGATTGATGTGTCTTCTCATTTCCAACAAAAACTATTAAATAATAGCTACAATCTTATCTGCACTCTACTTCACTAGATGACGGTTCGTGCATAAAAATAGTGCGACGTTTGGAACGCAAACAACGCTTTTACCCTTAATGAATTTAATAATCTACACTCAATCTTGACGTTGCTGTTTTCTTTTACTTCTACGACGTAGCAATTAGTATAGGTATCGTTTCATCCGTTGTCTGCTATATTATCGATGTAGATTTGCCTGCTAACTATAAAAAGTCATATTGATTTTTCTTACTTTACGCAACCATATCTCTCTTTACCATATCCCCATAATCTCCGTTTAAGTGGGAGGCCGCTGAGCGGTCCGGTGGGTCAACGAACCCCGGACAATGCAAAAAGAAGATGCTCCAGAACGATGAAAAAGAGACCCTTTTGAGATGGCATAATGATGAACGGCTTTTCATTCGACTGCTTACACAACGGACTGGCAAGACACATTTCGTGTCTATTTCTGGCTACGCTACGTTTTGATTTGGACCATATCTATGAAAAGTTGATTACTTTTTTAAGCGTTGCCTCTTGTAAGCGTTGCCGAAACAACTTTCTACCTACGTAGCATTCATAATTGGACCAAGTATCAGCACACGTTTCCAACATGTATATAAAAGCGACAATCACTTCAAAGTTTCTTAGAGAGCCAGAGACAGTGCGAGCTAGCAAATCCCCGACTCTGACTTTGGTGTTACTTCCAGAAAGAATTCTTACATTGTCGTGGAAGGCAACGTCGGGCGGAATGCACTGCCCTAACAGGCGGTGTGTCCTTCACCAGGTATCTTCTCCGGCAGCCGCCGAATAACGGTAGCTGATAGACTAGGCGTCTCCTTAAGGGCCGCTATCTACGTAAACCTATCAGAACTTCGCAGTTTCCCGGCAACGTGCAAGCAAAAAAGAGAAGTGTCTGTCTCAAGGACTGTCTGTTTGTTCTGTGCATGCAGGCGAAGTTCGCCAGAAAGGAGAATTCTTATGTTCGGACTGATATGCGTGATAGACCCTCACTAGACAGAGTAGACGATATAGAAAAAAAAAGATTCATCATGGTAGATGCATACTAACAATGGCAATTCAGTACTTACCCATAAGTTTGGTTTCATATATAGACTGTTGAAAACGCTTTCGTATGATGTGTTCTATACTAGATCTATAAGTATGGCTATATAAATAACAAATTAAGAATATATGTAAAACAGATTCAGTGGGAAATTTAGGTCATACAAATAATTCCAAAGGTACTTGACAAACACTTCAGTATACTGAAATATCTCTAGTTGCAAGATTATTCCATTATAATCAAAAGACCTCAGCTCGACAGGGACGAACCAAGCAATGCGATACGTTAGTGTGCTTTTAATTCCTGGAAGCATCACTGGGTGAAAGCTCAGTTCCCAGAGCACCAATTTTGCAGGATTTGCATTGGATACCGGATCTAATTTTCTTTTAAAAGCAAACACCAATTTAGTGTATATACTTTTTTTCGAGCTGAGATGAAGGAAGATATGCACCGCTCACAGTTTTGCACTATTTCATTCAATAGTCATGTTTATATGGCAACATATAAAAGACAGAAGTCATAAAAATAGTAAATATATGTACTATGCGGTCGCGCATTTATCCGAAAATAATAAATTATTTCCTCAATCAGTCTTTAGCACAACACCTCTCTTTTTACAGATCAGTATATGTTTTGATTTTAAATCTGACCTCTGCTTTTGCGCAAAACATTATACTGTGTCCAAGAGCCTTAACTCACAGAATGTAAACGCAGAAGAAAAAACTGAGTAAAGCTGTTGTAGATAATGCCACTGAAACTAGCTTTAATGTTTTGTTCTAATACGGAACTTGAGTCACTTATCGTTATCGTATCAAAAGTGATGAGAGGTGTCTCTTTACTATGTTAGGCAATTGTTTTAGCATGTTTATCTGTAATAAATCTCTATAAAAAGTGTATAACGTTAGTTACTTAGATAGCAAACACACGTAGACCTCCACTTAAAAGTAAAAATGCATTGCCGTGCCTAAAAACATGGGTACAGAACAAACATACACTAACAAGACAAAGCCACTTTGGGACAAAGATTACTCCCGAAGTGTTTAGGCGTGAAAAGACAAATGATGGTTTAAGGACATTTATATAAAGACCTTTCTCCGTGTCAGCTGCGTTGATTATTCTGTACACTTGACCGCTGAGGACTTCGTGAGGAAAGGTGATAAACTGTAGTCGAGCTTGTACTTACAAATAACAAATAGCTACTGTCTGTATTGACATAACGAACAGAGCTTTAATAGAGAGGTATCAGCCTTCATTTTGTGTAGATGACACGTCTGATTAAAATGTCTTAAAAAAATATTAATATCTATTCCGCATCGGTATCATTAATACTGGTGCGCAAAGTATCACCTATAACATGTGTCAGTACTAGTAAAGGGTGTTTCATGTGTTCTCACTACATGAACCAGCCTTCACATTTTGGGTGGACAAATTATTAAAAGAGTAAAAATAAGCGCTTTCATAGCTTCAAATACTTTTCAAATCATATTTAATATTCGCTTACTTGCTAGTTTTGTGACATTGACTATTTTCAGAATAAGCGCCTTATTAAACATTGGTATTGATTTATCAAACCGTTGTTGAAAAATGTTTCGGTCTACCGTCGATCGGAATGTCAACAAAATAATATCATAACGTCCTTATTCGTACGAGTGTGCCGTTCGTATGTGTCGTTGGCAAGACTTCGAAACCCGAACCAGAACAACTTACAACCAGAAACTTCGTCATCAAGTCAAGGGACATTTTTGCACTTCTGAATATTACTACTGTTGTTTACTAAATTAGTTAATACACGTCGAGGAACTGCTCAAGGCAGATCGTCAAGAGATTTCAAGAAATGCTTCAGAGCATTTATAGCGCCGGTGTACTGACAGTAAAAACAGTACGCATTGATTCGCATTACTTTAATTCTATGTGTTTCAAATTTAGCATTCAATATCAAAATGAAATTAATAATATCAATTACTGTTTTGTGCTTATCAAATATTGCTGAGATACACTGTTTCGAGTACTTGGAATTGTTACACGAACATAAATGTATGTTGAGTTCCAAACCATTAAGTAACACTGGCGACTGTGGCATATATTGATGAAAAAATCATTTATAATTTGGGTTTTTTTTTATGTTTCACATGTAGTGCTGCTGACGTATGTCAATTGCCGTAGCGTGAAACTTGCTGTGAAGGTTCAAGACTACTTCACAACCGCTAAGTTAATCGCATTGGTACTTATTATTGCAACCGGATTATATCGCATTTGCACAGGTATCATGTTTATTTTAACAGCTGCTACAAAAACAGTAATACTTACGAACTTAAGAAAGTCACTTGTTCTAGGTTTCATATAATTATTTTCGGCGATATTTTTCAATCAAATTTCATTTCTTTGTTTTAAACTGATTAGGACTGATTTTTTCCATCACGTTATAAAAAAAGAGGACTTTTCTCCTATTAACGAAGTATATAATGCAGCTTGTTGGAACAAGATTTATGTTTATATAAATACACTAATATTTACTATATACATTAAAAGCATTCTTTTAGGTTTATAAGTGCTTACCATGTTTGTGTGCCCAGGTCATACTGAACACCTTGCAAACCTATTCTCGGATACAACTGTTAGTCCTGGTGGCCTTTCACTTGCTTTTTATTCAGGACTCTTTGCTTACGGAGGTTTCAACAATTTAAACTATGTTGCCGAGGAACTGCATAACCCAAAAAGGTACGAATCTTAGTATTAATTGTTTCCTGTAATTACGTAATATTTTTTGCATGGCGTAATTTTAGTTAAAAGAATATAAAGCATAGTACAAGGAGCTACTTAAAGCAAGCTGGCAAAGTGTTTAGCACCTCTTGTCATCACATTGTTTTCTCTACATTCACAACATCCATTTAAAACCTCAGAATATTATTTTATGTATTATCGCTAGAGACAACTAGCGCGCAGTAATAAGTTTTACTCCCACCTTTAAGCCACTACCTCACCTAACGCCACCACGATTAGTAGGCAAACATCACAAGTCATACGACGACTCATCCATTCCTACCATATACACATCGACCAAAATTTATGATATAAGTTTTTCAAATATCTACAGTGGCAACAGTACTTTAGAAAAGGCGTTGCTGGCCGTTTTGTTCTCAATTCTATGTCACTGAAGAACCTACCTCTGAATTTATCTATCAATTATCTATCTCTATTTATCAATTTTCGAAAACGTTTTTACATAAATCGAGTGTACGTGCCAGAATGGTTTGTCGGATGGGTTTTTCAGGCTGCCTATTGTCTAAGGCCTATTTAGTCGGACTTTGCTTTTCAACAAGGCCCCACAGGCAAGGCCCAATGTGTCAAATCACATGACAGTCATGCTACGGGTACCGCGCGGTTCACTGCACGTCTTCCAAACTTCTTCAATAGCTTCAGCATTTCAAGTATGCAATGGCAGAAAGCTTTATATTGTTAGTAGTATATATAATGTCCAAATTTAGCTCATCTATTTTCGATCAGAGAAAATCTTAACGAAAACATCAATAGTTGACAAAAAAAGCCTATAGCCGGTCGCATAAGCGCCTACTTAGAGTTGCTTATGAGATTCTGCAAAGCCCAGCCCAGTTCGAACTTGTTGTGGGCAACGCAGACACGTGGATAAAGTTCAAGTTCAGCTCTTTCATATAGACGTTAAGGAATCGTCGCACAAGCACAATTCCTTAATGACTTCTTAAACTACGTTTTACGGCTTTACGGTCCTGACGAATCTTGCACGTCATTGATGCATTCGATCCGCAGATGTGCTGAATCATCGGTGGGGTCAGCCACCACCATGCGCAATGAACTAGGGCTGTAACGCACAAGGTTGTCGCCAAACTATGCGTCCCCATGCCAACAGAGCCCAGGCTCAATGCATTGACGTAGCAGAAGGGAAGGAGCCCATTTAAGCTGCCTAGTAATGCCCGTCATCAAGTTTGAGAGGTCTGAAGTAGCGGGTGTTAAAAAAATGCAATGGGCGAAACTTCGTATGAACAGGACCTGTGAACGACCTACATGATAGGCGAACTCGCTAATGGCCTTCTGTATCAAATTAAAAGAAACACGCCCTGTTGCTGTTTCCCAAAGGCTTATCAAAAATAAAAATATGCCACACTATCGACAACAGTAATTATTCTACCTGCTTCTCGCCGACCTTCAGCTTTATTTACCTGAGACGATCAGATGCAGGTGCTGGGCATCAACGGCTCCGACTGGTCATTTGGCGGCCAAATTCGATACTACACGTGCACACACAAATGGTATGGCACTCATCTCAGTGCCGATATCCACCGTGCTCCCTCTAATCCAACACTGTCCAGTTCGATCCCGATTTCAAACCACAGCGGAGCAACAGTTCCGATGAGTCGGATAGTTGAGGGACCATGTGCCGCCCAACGGTCGCATGTTTGGCCACTTGACGACGTCAGCGCACCGGCTTTCTCGCTGGAGGCCTATCCTTTTCGTCATCTCCCGGTATGTCGCGTTGAATCGCTTGGATGAAAGTGTTGTACGAAGCTGGATTTGCCGCTACGACAGATTTTTTGTGTTTTCTTGACCTTGCTGTCCTTCAAAGCTCGTTTGACCTTGTTCTAGTTTTCGAAATATCCATACGTAAGGCGTTCGTGAAGTTTTTGTTTAAAAACATCTCAGTTGCCTGCCATTAGTCCGATCTCCATGTCATATTACACCATAGCGGTCCACGTAGGTACTATTGCACCCACTGCAGAACTTGGTTCTGGGACCGGTTAGTTATCCGGACGCAATTCTTGAAAAATCAAGAACTAGCGAGCCCGACCGTCCATTCTTTCGAATTTCGTTACCCACCAAGCTGCCACAAAAAATGGAGAAAAAGAATTGCAGGCGACTAGGGATTAACCGTCCAATTGTACTCACAGTCGGCCGGAACCAGAAGTACATATGTTGGCATCACATATTTTCTGCGTCTGCATCATCACAGATAGGGCATTCCGAAAATGTATACACAGGTTGAATTTTTATAACTTCAGTTCTTATTGACCCGTACTTAATACTGGAATTGCATTGGAATCTGCACAACTGCTTCCGCATTCTTCCTCACTCACGATATAATATGTTCTTTTTTTTATAGTCTACGTTCGTTTCTGGGTAAGGCTTAGATTTAATGCTCAATGCAAGATGTCGATTCACTGTTCGACCTGATCCAAAAAAATCTTCGTCGAAAACTGTGCAATATGTTTTGCAAAATTGTTTTCTTCATTGATAACATGTAGTGTTACAATTGTATTTTCCCAAAACCTTTTTAGCTCACAACTTGCTTGTCTTACAGATTTTTGGATTTATCTCTTGGTCCGTCTTTCTTAGCTGGTGAAGATCGTTGATGTTTTTGGTCCTTCGGAACGTAATCTATCTGTTCGTTTCAAACTTATCTTTTATCCAATTAATTGTAAGTCTCGTAGATAGATCTGCCAAAAACTTTTGTGTTTGTATTTGCGCTATATGTTCATACATAACCTCATAACATTCCATATAATAATTTAGTACAGCAGCTAATTGCCGTTATTATACTCATTATTAATTATTCAACTTACTTACACACTAATAAAGGCAGTCAAAATTGTGAACTTTTAAATAATGTATTTATAGTGTGCTAATAAACAAAAATTGATACCACTAAAATGTTTCTAACATTGAGGGAACGAAAAGTCTTACCGTTGGTACCGCAAGCTATCTACTCAAAATTGCATGTTCTTGCAGCCATGTGCTTTAGGTACTTCTTTATTGCATAACTACTTCATTATAAAGAAGGACTCTTTATACTTAGACGTACTTATCAGCAGGTATTCTTTTTCTCTAGATTTGCGGCTTGTAGAGTGAACCGAAGGTAAGGAACACATTAATTGTTAACAGATTACTCAATCTTCAGATTTCGCAGGCGTTTGTGCAATAACAGTGATTCGTGTTGACTTTCAGAAATTTACCGCTGGCTATTTACATCGGAGTATCAATCGTCACGGTCGTGTATGTTTTGACCAACATAGCATATTTCACAGTAATTTCGCCGGAGGAGATGCTCAAATCACCTGCTACTGCCGTGGTAAATACAATACTTTCAGCAATTAGTAAACCGGCAAACACATGCTTCATCGATGCTCAAACTACCTTGACAATACCTGCTCACTTTTGTATGTTTTGTCAATATGTCAATTATCTCATTTACAGACATTTGCGCACAGAATGTTTGGCCCAATGGCCTGGACAATGCCTGTATTCGTTTCACTATCGATTTTCGGAGGCCTTAATGGAATTATGTTCACCATCTCAAGACTATTCTTTATTGGAGCTCACGAGGGTCACTTACCGGCTTTCGTCGGCATGATCAACGTGCATCACCTTACGCCGACACCTCCGATTCTTCTATCGGTATATCGCATCAATTATTAGCAAAATTCAAAACGGACTGTTATACACAGGCGGGAAATATTACTCGGATTATAATCGGTATATAGGCGATACCTAGCAGGTCATTCCGCTTGCCGTTGGGAAGTCTATAAAATGAGATGCCTTTTTAGACATAGCTGAGTATATTTTTGGGGCCCACTATTGGTGCTCTACCCCGCCACACGGTCAGATGATTCTAAATGTTTTCAACACTTTTTACGCTTCGAGTACACTATGACTGTTAGTTCGTTTTATCATGGTGTGCATTCTTATAGAATCTTACTCACTATTTTATTTTTCTGATATTTGCTGCCTCTTTATTCATTGATATTACTTTAGACCGGTATCACCCTTCTAATGTTTATAACATCGGACATTTACGCTCTGATCAACTATCTTTCGTTCAACTACTGGCTCTGGGTGGGCATCTCGATTCTTGCCCTTTTGAAGCTAAGGCACTTGAAACCGGATCTTCCGAGGCCTATTCAGGTAACCACTACACCCGCAAGGTCTAGCTAGCTTTCGATAAACGCTAGCAGATACTATTATATTCTAAGCATAATATTCGATACGTTATAATATGACACGCTGTTTGGTTTTAGTTACGATGAATTTAGTTGTCGCAATCAACACCAGAGACTTACTTAAAGATACGACACCGACACAGTTGAACAACTCTTTCTGCGTTATTCGGACATTGTTTTTCAATATTTTCTTCTTTCAATATGTATTTCAAAATTTCTTGGAACCCATATCCGCCACCTCGCATACAAATCTCACAGTAACAGATGCGCTTTTTCCATAGCCATGTAGAAATGACGTTTTGTATCGAAATTTTATTTCCGACAATTTTAATTTAATTCAGAACAGCTCGTATAAATTTAAATACTTAAGAATGTGTTAAATACTGCAAGCAGTAAAATATGGTACGTTTATTTTCGTAGTATATATTTGTGTAGTTTAGCTAATATCTAACTAATTAGCTGGTCTGTCGAGCAAGTTTTATTGGGCACATAACGAGCTACAGTGACCAATGATAAAGAAAGCGTTTGCGGATATTTTATAGGTAAACCTGATTTTTCCAATCTTGTTTCTACTTATGTGCGTTTTCCTAACGGTGATGCCCCTCTACGAAACACCGTTGAAGAGTGGGTTGGGCGTCCTCATCCTCCTAAGTGGAATCCCAGTTTATTACCTCCTTGTGAAGCCAAACAAGAATCTAATCGGTCTTAGAAATATATCTGGTAAGTTCGCAAATATAAAAATCTAAGCATTGCCAAGTCCGCCTTCTAGATAAAAACGATTTTACCAAATAGTGAAATAGAATTGTAGGGCAGAAAAATTAGGAAAGCTAAAATTAGCTACTGAATGATAACCTAAAAAAATATGCATTAAGCGTTGGAAGGCAATGAAACACTTCACATTTAAAATGTACTGTATAACAATCCTTTAAACAGTACTATATGTTTAAACAAACTTACAATACACTTTGTCTATCAAAATTAGATCTTTTTCAATTCTGCATATGCATATAGCGCGAAGTTATTAAGTCCATTCAAAATGAGTAGCCAAATCAGCTTAAATGAACCCATATTACCAGTATTAGCAAAATAATAATTATCGCTTAAAATAGTGACGGTATTTAATGGATAAAAATTGTCTAAGATTCATAGCGTATGTACCATTGCATAGAAAAATAGTTATATAATTAGCTACGAAGGATAACGTTTCTGTTTCGGCGAGGAAGCACCGATTACATTAATTGCAGATCAGACTCTATCCGAAATCTTGCAAAAAAATTTGTGAAGGTGGGTTTGCCCCTCTGCGCGGACATAGTAGTACTTTATTATTAGCGCATTAATAGTGGAGTAGCTAAATCTGAGTTAATTTGAGTCCTCCATCTATTGCTGATGATTGGAAGGGAGCAAAAGTCTCCCCAGAATGTTGAGTGTATTTAATTGTTTCGAAATAGGCTACAGGAGCAGATTGTTTCATTGAATTTTTTTAATGAATGTGTCTTTTTGTGGAAAGATGAAATTCACTTCACGAAATGTGGTCGTAAAAATTAGTTCTTAGAATACAAGTACAAACTCAATTCACTAGCTACATAGTGTTTTAAACAACGGAAACCCCTATTATTCTTCTTTCAGGCCATCTCTGTTAACTGAGTATGAACAGAAAAGTTTCCTTGGCATAAAACCCCTGACTTGAACGAATTCATCCATTGAATAGATTATGCCCGCGGCACATAACAACCCTTGTCGGTCTAGGCCCAGTCTACCTTTGCTAAAATTTAGGCAGGCATATATCTGCGGAGAAGTCAACTTCCGGATCTTTTTAGATCAGCTCTGATGTTTGCTAGCACGTCATATAATGCTTTAATATCAAGGAATTGCCAAACTGAAATGATATTTTTGGCGTTTATCGACATTTGTTATCGGGGCGTCAAAAATGCCGATGCTCACCATTTATTAATGGTAATAGCTTTGACTGAGCGCCTCCACCGTGAAGCCCATGACGGTATACAACTACACTGCTATTAACTAAATTTCATGCCGTAATACTCTCTTTTTTCAGCTTATTTTACAATCCAAATGCAAAAGCTACTTGTAGTTGTACCTCCAGAAAAAGAAGCCGGTCTATGAAGTCGCCTGAGCATACAAGGATCACCGTTCAAATAGGTCATATACTATACATAGTGATAAATCGAAGTGTTCACGATCCTATTTATAGGTGTACATTGAATCGTATAAATCCTCAAACGTGAAAAAAATTTAATGATGGTAAGTGCATTTTTATGAACATGTTGTATAATACGCTGCATAGACTTAGCATCTGGTTGTGACCCCTGTAACTAGTCGATGCATACAACCAATGAACAAATGAGATGCTGGAAAGTTGTAAATGAAATTAACTCATAGTTCCATAGAATGCCACTGGAAAACACGTTGAACGCCAAAAAGCAGCGCCAATTATGTTTAAAGCCCAAAGTTATGCTCTATTTTTGTATGCCGGACGTGAGAGCAAATATTGGTGAAGATTATACTATACATACATCGAAAATTTCGCCTATGTCATCTGTCAATGCGAATAAACGAACGGATGTTTAGAGAACCATTATCTCTCAGTGTTACTACTTCCTGTGTCTTCCGAGTATCCATTATTAACTATATCTTATCATATGCCAGCCATATTCACAGAAGATTCGATCAAGTCTTGTACATGATATGATGTTAACTTATGATATTCGACACTAATAAAGTGATAAAGTTATGGTTATGTTATATTTTTTAGTATAATATAACCGTATATTATACATGATGATCAAATTATACCAAAAAAAATTGCCTAATAATTATTAACCGTAAATAAACCTCTATGAATAGCTCATATATTTATCGATTGATAAGATTAGTGTACGCCATACGACAATGCATTTGCATGGCTTTTAATGTCTGGTCGTCCTATACGAAACAAAAATCCAAACGAAGACAGAAGCTATTTCTACCGCTGATGTTTCGTTAGAGAGTATGTCCTGATTGACTGAAAAGTCATTTTGCTAATTACTCGATTCAATTGAAACTAATCTTCAATTTAGATTTTTTCTGGCTTCATCTCGTAGTGCAGCATAGTAGTACTACTACGTGTTGAAAGCAGCTAAACTATTAATTCTATTATCGCCGTTTTTGTCAATCTGCCGGTAATTTTCTTATGGGCGCACTACCTGTCTTCTCGCTTAAGCCAAATCTTTAACTCGTAATATACATTAAGATGTTGGGTCGTGACATTTTAGAACCAAGTCGTGTTTTTTAATCCATATCATCTACATGATGCTTTTTCTTTGTTTGCTTACCCAAGTAAGCATTTACATTTTGTATTTATTTGATAATAGCACTGGCCGGCAATTGCGCCCAGTAGGCATGTTTGTACAGGTATCTTATAATACTTTTTGACCCTATGCATGTATTTTTATAATTTATAAAACCACTACTTGAGTGCTATCACTATTTGTAAAGTGCTATATATTAACTAGATTAAATCTGCATATGGACTGGGAACTATTGAGGGCATCGATGGTCGTAATGGCTTTTTTCAATCATTTTGATCATGGTGTTCATCAAACTCAAACAAGTTTTGCCGCCGCTAATCGCCATTCGAACAACGTAATAAATTCTATTTTACTGTAAACAAGTTATTGCATGGCTGTCACATATTAGGGACGATGTCTGGAAATAACGTCTATACCAATATCATCTATTACTTCGATTTCTCTTCCATTTCAGCGCCATTACGACCATCGTAGCAGCTGTCTTTGTTCGGATGTAGAAGCGGGGATCCAATTCCATTAAATGGCGTTAGTAGCAACACATTGAGGCGGCTAATTTTAGATGAGATTTCATCTCGAAGTCTAAACGATTTTGACCAAATCGCCGGGGTGAATTAGACACGCGTTTACGATAGGAGTTCTACTCCTCCTATTATCCTAATACTAGACGGAGGGGTATGCTCGGAGGGTAGTGACGCTTAGGAGTAATTCTAAAGGTGTCCAATCGTTAGTTTAAAGTCAGTCTTGATCTCAGCGGGTACGTTCTGCGGGATCTGAAGGTCAAACAATAGCTCTTAGTTGTATCGGTAGAGGAGGCGAAAGACAAAACCATGGAAATATCAGCAGGAAGAGTGGGCCGCAATACCGAGATTTACTCACGGAGAGGCATGTCGTCAGAAGAACTGAGGACTGGATGATTCCCACATGGAGAGCTCATATACTGCCTAATCATGTCACGATACGTTCTCAAGCCGTCTTTACGGGATTGAAAAGGGCCTGTCGGATAGCTGCGTCTTATGTACAGCGATATTGGACGAGTTGCCTCAGCATATACTTGAGGTCTGTAGGACAGGAAAAATGACGTTATTTTTGATAAATAGAATAAAGGAATTCGCACGAGTCTTAAAGGAAGATTAATTCTTTACGGGAGAAGTTGTTAGGAAAAAGCAGCGACAAATAAGGTTACGTCTAAGCAATGTTATGAACGAAATAAAGAATGCTTTCTAATCAGCTTCTGAAAAAGTACGAGGGAGATAAGCCCCTGCGCAAGGTACTAACTCTTCTGTGGAGAAAGGGAACTTGACCAGGGTGATCTCGGCCTGGTAATTTGGTAGCGCAAGCCGCTTCCTCTTGTCAGCTTGTAAAGTGAACATATAAGCCAACTCGAAACGAACCTTGAGAGGGGGACTGAGAAACTGCGAATAGTGACCTTAGGTGGCACTGATCCGACCTCTGGAACTGAATCCCATACTTGGCCCACATGAGGTAGACACAGCTTTGGTAGTACTAGTCATACATAAATTATATTATCTAAAGCTTCCAAAAAAACGACAAGAAGTATATCGATTCTATGAGGAGACCAACTGCAGACAGCATCATTAGTTTTCTGTTTAGATTCTAATGAAATGTTGTTTTGTTCGATCGTATATTCGGCTAGAGAATACCTGCAGGTGGGTTTATCTGGGGTTAATTGAACAGCTCGATTTTTATTCTAGCAAGCAAACGTTAATTCAAAATTTTAATGCCTTCAGACTTTGAAAATTTTGAGATACAGGCGAGTCGGAAATGATGCAATGTTCGGACATTTTTTTTTTTTGTAAATTTTAAAATACGAGGCTACAAAGGGCCGCTAAGTGCTTTTTTGGCATTTCATTGAACTCGTGTTGAATGATAAACAGCCAAGATAATCAGCTCGCTTTCTTACCACCGTTTTGCCTATCTTGAAATTACATGTTGAGGTTAAAATGAAAACAAGTTATATTTGACAAAAGCCATAATATTGAGTTATATTACATGACAAATCTGGGGGTCATATGAGCCGTAGTAACATGAAATTGCATGAACCAGGGTGAGGCTGGGTTGTATAATCGATGGGGCTACATGTGCCATTGCATTTCGAGCATATATGAAACCAATTACCGTTGATGTTAATTCCACAGAGAAGCTGTAAGAATAAGTAGCCTCCGAAAGCAATTCAACAAAAAGTATATGGGCTTCTACTGAGTCCATATATTTCTGTATACTCTAAGTGAAGTACGACATCATATTCTCGCACTCGTTAAACCACATGTTGCTTTTGAGATAAATTTTTACGTTATTATTAACGCATTATTAACGCACTATTCGGATAAATGTATACTGTCGACATGTGCACTACATTGCTGGTTAACATGATCATGAATCAGAATTACCATAGACAATTATTTGTACTAGAACCATACGTAATCACTTAGTTACACAGGCTTGTAATGCACGAATTGTTATTATTTTTTTTAACGCTATGCAGCTCCTATATATCCCAGTACCTACGCTATTTAAAATTTGACATGACACTTATTATTTTATATGAATTCATGGTAAACGAATTGTAACTTTGACCCGCCTCACTTTGTAGTAAATGATTATCAAGTATCCTCTTCTTTGATAAGAACTGCAGCGGTTTCTATTAAAAAAAATTGTTTACAATTAACTTTGTTGAATCACTCACTTCTTCGAACGAAATAATTAGTAAGCAATTGATATTTTCTTGCAAATGGATGAATCATAGTGAGCTCATTCAGACTACATAATAGGAGAATATTGGCCAGATGTATAGGTATATTTCTATTCTTTTCTGTGACAACAGTTGTTTTCAATGATCGTTGAGCACATTTTAACCGATATAGCCCCACCCTCTACATGCAAGGTAGGACATCCGAATCCATTTTTATCATGAGTTATTTTCAAGAATAAAAACCGTTATTTTAACAAACAACAAGTTTTTGTTTGCTAGGTGTAATTAATTACGGTCGTGTTCATTCAATACAATCATCATGCATCGCGATTACACCTTTAACTCAGGACGTCAACCACTCAGAATTGCCTTTCAAGTATTTCTCATCCAAAGTGTAGCGCATGCTGGAAATGTTCATTGTATTTTTTAGGAGCTTCTGATAACTGGCAATAACGTAGACCATCAATTCCGGGCAAAAAAAAGCTTGTAATATCGGTAGAGGTCCGCTCTGCGTCAAGGCGTCGGATAATATATGATCTTTGCTCAAATTCCGGAAACCAAACATTGCTTTCCGCTATGCTGAGCCTGTTTCAGAAAGAACTAGCTTTAGGTTGCAGGAATAGCGACTGAACGCATGCGTGCTAGGACAAACAGCGCGCCAAATCTCCGAAATTGAACATCTCATGTTGCTTACGTACATATAAAGGTTTTGTTTTTCGCACTGCAGCGTAGAATTTCATTCCATTATCTTGGAATGATATTCTTAATTTTAGAAACCTAAAAAAGCGAAAAGATTATTTAGAGAGACCTTCTAACGTGCAAAGTACGTAAGTTGAGTTTGTAAGCCAGATTCATTCGAATGTGCATTGTCATTGTACTCACTGTAAGCAAATCAACGATTATGAGAACCTAAAACATATTTTCGGTGCACATAAAAAATTAATAAAGTAAGTTTAGGAGCGCGAACCCAGCATAGTAAGGACAGGGTGACATTTCTCTAGATCATTATAGAAGCCTTTTTAGAAAAAAAAATTTTTTTCGGCATACAATAGAAAAACAGATCATGAAACAATCTTCGTCTGTTCCATGTTGTAATAAAACCGCGTAACCTATCATTATTCGTGTATTTATAAATTAAGACCGACGCAGTATTTTCTTAAAACAGGATATGAACAACGGAATTAGCATGCGCCCAGTTGCAAACTTCATTTAAAAGAATCAGGGAAGCCATATTGCACTGTTTGGCTTTTTATGAAATTTTGCTACAGCATTGTGAGACCGAGTCACATGCCGTCTTCCAATTTGATTTCAGGTAACTGGAAAGCAGAAGGAGTTGCTTTTAATGAGCCTGCCTAAACAGAGCGCATATACACACATTACGTATGCAAATTACACATTTCGAAGGCATCTTCATTCCAAACTGTCATTTCAACGAGATACGTAGAATGTAAATGCAGACAGTAAACATTCTCAAGCACGAAACGGAGCAATATATATATGGAGCATGTCTGTTAAGAAATAAAGGGCCGATTAGGGTTATTCGAGACGTGCTTAAACCTTATGATTGAATGCTTCGCAGAATAGGTTTTTTCTGTAACGCTTTAATGTACTATAATATTTTCCTTTAGCAATAAACTCTTTGAAAAAAAAAATTAGCTAACTACAAACTTTTAAATCGTCAGATGTAAAGCGTGTACGTACTATGCTGTCACTAGGTTTGATATCGCAGTGTAATAACTACCTGCGCTCCGATCCAGTAGCTTCGTTTGCCCAAAGATATCATGATAAGTTGCCTTGAGTTATAATACGACAACGTTGAGCGATTCTGAAGCCGCCGGTCCACGAACGCCCATTGGAATGAAACTGTATCTATTGAGCATGATAAAATTGCAACGTATTTTCCGAGAGCTAATAAGATCATGAAGTCAGAGCAATCACAATAATAAATACGCTCTACTGTATGTCATATTCATATGTATGATTCCAGAACAGGATATAACAACAGAGTGCACGATAACCTGAAAAGCATTTTTACAAATATATGTGAAAAAAGCCGATTTGTTAAGCACTTCCCGCTGTTCGCAGACGACATCCATTGGTGGCGCTGCCGCGTCCTGTCCTTCTCTCCTAGCCGTCGTTTCAGGGCCCGAAACAGCAAGCAGTCGTCGCCCTGGTGGATAGGGCAGGCCGACAGCGAACCGTTCGTTAAGCAGCCTTAGACTCAGCTGATGGTAGTGCCCGATTCAATGTTGTTGTTGTGATTTGAGGTTAGCCATTATCCTACCATCACAACAATACCAGGTATACAATAAGTAGTTTTAGAAGTAACTGTACTGACGGGAATATATACAGGCGGCTAAGGTTACCGTAATGATGATTCAGATTGGAGGTGCGAGACAGGCCGAGATCTAACTGGGCCGGATAAAAGAAACAGACATACAATGCCTGCTTGCCAGTATGTGCTATCAACAGTGTACGGCTGATTCAAAGTGACAACAACGGCGCCTGTTACGTTCGCCCTTCAGAACGGCATTCTAACGGAGGCGTCAGCAACGTCGATAGCAGATTTCTCATTGACTCGCGTCAGGGAAGCGATATGCAAAATGTAAGCTAAACTATGTGTCTATGACCATCTTCAGTGATTTACTTATGTTTATATGGATATTAGGCTGTAAATGTCTATTTCTATATGCCGCAGTAGTTGCTAAAATACCTAAAGCGGCTAACGTGGTCTGCAATGGTTGTGGTTACGCTGTGGTTACATTTCCCAACCGCGATCGAACCAGTACTATGGCAAGTTTCCTATCCACATACGATGGTCATGTTTGAACAGCTGGCTGAGAAGCAAATGCGTACTTGCAAGCAGGTACGTACTAGTGTTATGGATTGTCACCTATTTGGAAACAAGCATTGGGTAGTCTATAGCTCCATGAAAAAGCGCGCATGATTCGATACGTTCACAATCGAGATGATGGAAAATAACAGCACTGAGTATTACTCTCAAGGTTATTCGTTATAATCCATATCGTTAACAGACACTTTTATAGAATAACAATCTACCACGTGATAAAGGTATGTAGTAATGGCTCATTTTTTTCTTCACGAATCTATGTAACGTCAGTCTTTACTTTACAATATAAATGTACTTCAATCAATGTATTTCGCTCATAATAGAGGTGTTAAAACCGTGCAAATGGTTAATAGTTATTAGTGTAATATATAATGATAGGTGATGATGGCGAAGCACGATGAATTCCTAATACAGGTCTATCCTTTCCTAATGTCGACTTCGAACATTAACGAATACACCGCGTGCTAGTAAGCGCTTAACTAACTGCCAACATAATGGCACTGTTTGCCTTTGTTGGCTCATTTCGTCCCTAATAATACTTCACCAACGGCTTTGAGGAAGTTACACCGCTTCGAATAGCGATATTGGTGATCGATTTGAATAAAATGTAGTTGTTTGTATCATGTGGTTGTTTACCATTTAGTAAAAGAGTGTAATTTACGTATTTCGAGCCCTATTTTTACACAAATCACTGGACAGGAAGGAAACTAACACCATGAAAAAATAAATACAGCAACTTGAAGAAACGATGACTCTACTGAGCCAATTTCATGTAACAGATCAAAGTATGCGGAATTAACCCTTATTAATTGAAGGTGTTTATTGCCTTTGTGTATCCATAACGTTCTGATTTTGTTAATTGCATACCAAATTAATTTAAGTAAACGCAAGTCCGGGCGAGCAAAAATAATGGTTACTACATAAGCTCTTCTTGTCTTCAGTTCTTTCATTCTAACAGAAAACAAAAATACCATTTTTAGTAGTAAAGATTTTGGGCAGAATGATAGCAGCTGCTACAAAATGAAATGGCAATTAGCCTGATGCACATTATGAGAAGGTCGAATTTTCGTGACCTCTAGTGGATTTTCGCTATTAACTTATTTTTATTATAGAGTTAACATTGTCGAGGCATTAAGGCACATATAGTCAATTCTATTCAAATCATCTAATTTATCAACACGGCATACTTTAGATAGGATGACATCCTTCAATGTTCTCTGTCAACTGGCATCATTTCTAGGCCATTCTAATCCGCTATTTCTCATGTAAAACAGCATGATCTTGTTTTGTAATACTGACATAAAACTTTCGGTGCGCGGACGAAGATTAATTCCAAAGAAAACAAAAATGTTATTATAAGCGTGAATCTCAGAAGATCAATGTGAACCATTTTCTACTTTTTTAAAAAAATTTGAGTAATATTTTCTCGTATCGACACCATCAGGGCAAAGTCTATTTTATGCAGGCCAAACGTAGAATTCGGCTCCGAGAAGTCAATTTATTTAACGAAAGTTCTTTTTTAAATGGTTGTCTACTTAAAGTTGTTGAGCAACAGGAATTTATTCAAACATTTTAAACATCCTGTCAAATCTTTACTCAACTTATTGCCTTTGTATGCTCACACAACCTATTCCAGTTTCTTACAGCTAAGGCTATACGAGTTTGGCTCGTTGTTAGTAGGCAAAATACATGCCTTTACGCCTCTCTGTATCGTTAAAATGTTTTCAAATTCTCGAGAATTCTGCTATTTTACGACACGTGAAGCGGTTAAAAGGTGGCGAGCAGGGTAGTTGTGGCCTGCAAATAAGCGCAGATTCTATTACACGTTGCTGAATATTTTCTGTGCGTAAGGCTTACGTTCAAGATGCGTGTCACTGCATTCCTTAAGACTCTATTCATTTCATCACTTTGTCTATGGACGTCTAGAGTCTTAAAACTAAATTACTACATAACTATTTGAACAGATAAACCGTTGCTGGGTATGACAACTTTAGACGTAGTGACGTGTTTTACAAACACGTCCTACGTCCTACATACGTTCTATTACATAGAACGTATGGATCTACAATCACTCGGCTTATATAATGTTTGAGACCCGACGTAAGCATACCTCGTTTTGTATTAAAGGCAGCCGTTCTAGGCGGCGCTTAGCTACACTACCGCGGCATATTGTTACCATGTCGTTTCGTACGTCTATTGGTGAGAGCCCGGATAAGCCCGCAAACCCGATAGCGAATAGCTGATCTTCACATCGGGATTTACACGCCGCAACGTAAACCTGCCTTTTACGGGTTTCGGCAGTGTATTTAAGTGAGCTCAGTTGTGCCCCTTCCTGGATGACCCTCTTAAAAATACCTTACGATTTAGATTCAGAGTAACTTACTATACATACAGAATTAATAATGAAAAGCCAGATACAAAATTCGGATATAAAAGGATTATTTGAGTCTCAAAAAATGTGAGATAGATAGTGCGAAGTTTTGAATACTCCAGTTGATTTTGCCCTTCGACTTGCAGGCATGAGTGAGGCAAGGTCAAGTTTTTCGTGTTACGAGCATCTTCCTACGGGTGTCCTCAGCTGCAGGTAGCTAAAGGTCAGTCCTCGCAATCTTTTTTTTGTCTGCTGACCAGTAACCCGCTTCATCATGGGCAACACAAACAGCGGGAAACGAGAACGTGCCTTCTCCAGCGAAGTACCTTGCTCGCCCGGAAAGGAGGATCGTGCCCTTGAATTTAATACGCATCGGTTTCATGGCCAAAACTCGCTGGAAGAGAACGAGGAATTCCTCAATAGTCTCCGCCAGTCAGAAGAGTATGTAAGACCACGTGCATCCACGGTGTCGGGCACCTCTTCATCGGTACCCATACAAGGTATTGCAGAGAGCTCGTTTGAAATGCACTGATGTTAATGTCTGCACCCTCGGCTGAAGTAACCGATATCAATCAAGCAATCAACTGCGTTGATAACGATGACAAATTAGGGTGGTTCCGAGCTTCTTAGCGAGCTAAGTTCTTGCAACAGTATGTCATCTTTTTTTAATGAATTATACACAGAATGTAAACGGATCGTCTGAGTAATTGCAGGTAAAATAATAAATACATGCTAATTACTCTGTTACTTACATTACGTTACATGTTAATTACTTTAATATAATAATAAAAAATAATAATATAATACTAATTAATTTAACAATACAATCATACATTGTCCTTACTTTTTCCTTAATAGGCACATACAATTTAAACCTTTCCTGTGCATAAGAATTTGTTTATCAAGTTGAACTGCTGTGTATTCTATTACATTACGTTGTACAATTTGAGTGCGATTCAAAGGCCGAGATGTTGACGCTACGCAATGACACGTTCGTTTTTGATATCATGATGCTCAATAGGTCTATTTTACGCGTTGCAGGCGGCAAAGGCGGTGTTCTCCCTACCGTATTCAAGTGGGAAAAAGGTGGTAAAGATGTCTCCATTTGCGGTACGTTTACCCAATGGAAACCCATTCAGATGGTGAAAAGCCATGGCGATTTTGTGATTATTCTTGATGTCCCTGAAGGTGAACATGAGTATCGGTTCAAGGTGGATGGTCATTGGCACCTTGATGAGACTGAGCCCACGGTCGAGGCAGAGGAAGGACAGAGTAAGAACAACGTCATTAAGGTTTGTACACCTTGTGCCTTTATATATTATGCTCTTTATCTGTATGTAGATGACACGTTCTAAATCGTAAATTTTGGTTTATTTTAAAGCAGAAATATTAGTCGTTTGAGTCCTGTAAAAACGACCTGGCAACCGTTTTCCGGATAGCTCGTACTAATTTGATCTGATACAATCATTTCTCAATGAAAAACAGGTAAAGCAGTCCGATTTCGAGGTGTTCGAAGCCTTGGCGGTGGACTCGCTCTCAACGCAGTCGGCTAATGCTGTATCACGTTCTCCGCCAGGTGACTACTCGCAGGAGATTCCCACAAAATTTGTTCAGGAGCCTGCGGCCAACGGAGGCAAACAACAGGGTCCGCCTATACTTCCTCCCCATCTTCTGCAAGTCATCTTAAACAAGGACATCCCGCTATCCTGCGAACCGACCCTTTTACCGGAGCCCAATCATGTTATGCTTAATCACCTCTATGCATTGTCAATCAAGGACGGCGTCATGGTCCTTTCGGGGACACAACGCTACCGTAAAAAATATGTCACCACTTTGTTGTATAAGCCCATTTAAAGGTCTCCCACTCAACCTTGTCATATATCGTGCTGATAGTCCTTACTGAATCAGATAGAGACTACGGTGACAGAAAACTCAAAAACCAAGGCGAGAAAAGAAAAGTCTTCTATTAATTAAGGAAACGAAAATGTCACGCAGCACGAATAGCAAAATGCATCATCAAGTAAATTTGACACTGGGCGTTGAACCGAAAACGAACGGCATCTTATGACATACAATATTAATGTTAATTGGTTATTGGTAAGTAAGGCTAGAATAATCTATTAGAGTACTTGGGACAGAGCTTCACGCTTAAATAGATTTATATAGATTACTTGATGTATCTTCGCTATGCACTCGACGAATACGCTTGGATAAGAGAATTTTGTTATATCTTTCTATCAGTAGCCCAGTTCAACCCAGCTTCTTTCGAAGTATTTGGTTTTTCTTTAGAACCATGGAAATTTATCAAACTAAATCACGATTTTAGCCTTTGACTTTGCGATGGCTAGGCAACGTCTTTTAGCCCCACTTTTTCCATACGGTACTTCAAAACTATTTTCTGTAGTACCGGTACGGGCATTCCAGTCCCAGTAAGTCTCGAAAATTCAGTAATCAAAACATCGATTTGAGGTAGTTTTGAACGCATATATATGTATATAGATGTTTTCCATGTTATCAATGCCTCGGAGGCATTCTATAATGCTAACAAGTGAAGGTCTGTGTTTGCTGAGCAGTTAAAGTCAAACGGGTTTCTTATAAAGACCTACCTGGATAGAAATGATTCTTGTTGTTGGAAGGAAAATAGTTCACACTATATGCAGCATACTCGTATAAATGACTCGTCGAAAGCATTTATATAAGTAAGGCTGTTGTTGGTTCTATGTACATATAAAGCTACCTGTCTTGAAGTCAAGGCAGTATTAATAATAAAAAATATAACAACAATATCAATAGCTGGAACCACAAAATATTATGACATACACTAACCTTCAACTACAGCTCTGTTGTATGATCAGACACCGTTTGAACCAGACTAATGCATATATATGGATATGTATGCATACTAACAGATTGACATATATTAGTGTGTATGTGTGTGTAAATATACGGACAACATAGAAGTTTACTAATGGCGCATATATGTGTAATTTGAATTTCCAGAATCATGGGTTCGCTACAGTTCTTGAGGAATGATAATTTACAATGTAAAATATGAATGCATATACATACACACATTTATCTTATGCTAATTATAATTATATACGAACTGTTTGATCGTTGTATGGTGACGATATTTCTAGTCTGTAACGAAATCAGATTTTCATTTGTTTTTCTAGTTGGATATAATATCGTAATGATATAAGACATGATATTATCATTATTATTACTAATTATCATTATATATATA